GGGGGGATCTAATCAAAGTATATATTGTCTATATAAATTATATTTCTTTCGAGGGGGGGGGGGGGATGGTAGACATTTTTCGAAGAGATTCCTGGAGGAAACTATGTAAATGATCCACCTCTACCCTTAATAGTTTTAAAACATTAGGTAGTATTTATTAATATTCAATGCATAAAAAACTTAAAGAGCGAAAAATAATAAAAAACCTTTTATCATCATTAGGCCTACGCTCTCAAATCCAGAATGATATATTTTTTGCAGTATAGGTCTGTAATGATTGTAAGAGACTTTTAAGAGATGGAACATGAACAAAATAGTTGCCAAAATGAACTAGATTTAAATTGATTACTAGCATGCCTTTTAGAATAAAAAAAAGCCAATATAATTTTTAAATGTGTTGTAGGCAACAGACTTTTTAGCCAGTGGCGTATGAACTGGACCGGCATACCAGAAATGTTTTGCTGAAGGAAAATAATGTTTTATATTTCGATGAAACGAACACATCTGTTCATGTCATTGTTATACACACACACACACACACACACACACACATGCATTCCCCATTCCCACACACTTACACACACACAATCATGAAGTCCACTTTCCCACACACTTACACATACAAAGACAAGCAATCCCCATTCCCCCCCACACACACACACTCACGGTCATGCAATTCACACACACACACACAAACAAGTGCAATACACATTCCCACACACTTACACTTACACACACAAACACACACACGGGTCTATCCTTACCCCATTTTACAACACCTGCTACAAAACATTCCATTCATCGCACCCCTACTTTTTATCATTATTTTTGTTTTAACTGACTTGTTTTTGTTTTTATCCGTTATAGTGCACGTTCTCCCACAGCAAAACGGAAACAGCATGTACATTCACAAACAGAATTTACTGTCCAGTCCAGTTCTAAGGCCAGTCCAGTCAACTTCTTAGACCAATCCAGTCAACCTCTTAGACCAATCCAGTCAATTTCGTAGACTAGTCCAGTCAACTGTTTAGACCAGTTCAGCCAACAACTCTGACAAGTCCAGCCAACTTCTTAGACCTGTCCAGTCAACTTCTTAGACCTGTCCAGTCAACTTCTTAGACCAGTCCAGTCAACTTTTTAGACCAGTCCAGTCAACTTCTTAGACCAGTCCAGTCAACTTCTTAGACAAGTCCAGTCAACTTTTTAGACCAGTCCATTCAACTTCTTAGACAAGTCCAGTTAACTTTTTAGACCACTCCAGCCAACTACTTAGACCAGTCCAGTCAACTTTTTAGACCAGTCCAGTCAACTTCTTAGACCAGTCCAGTCAACTTCTTACACCAGTCCAGTCAACTTTTTAGACCAGTCCAGTCAACTGTTTAGACCAGTCCAACCAACTACTTAGACCAGTCCAGTCGAGTTCCTTCAGCTCATCACACCATCGCCCCGCTAACACATGATATTCTATCATCCACCCATGAGACTCGTCACACCCTGTCTTTAATTTACCAACAGACAATGTCGGCCTTAGAGCCTCATTCAAATCAAGTCCTGATTTGCTTTATCTTCATTTTCCTTGTTCTGCAGCATCAGTCATCAAGGCTTAAGGAAAGTTGTTTTTTCAAATAAACAATTCATATACTAGTTCATATTTTAGATATGAAATAAAGATTTAAAAAATCGTTTTCTGTATTATTATTTTTAATTGTTTTGTTATTTAAACTAGATTACTGTTGTTGTTTTTCTGTACTTTACAAAAGGAGACAGTAGTTTAAATGTTGAACAACATTACCAGATTTGGGTGTGGTAATTATTAATGTTGTACGGAATTTGAAATTAGCTTTTCAGCTTCAATCCCATCTTGTTAGGATTTGGTAGATTATTCTCACAGCTTAGAAATAAGGGTGGATCAGACTTTTAATTAATCATCACGGAAGTCAAACTGTGGATTAGAATGTTAATCTAGGGAGTTAATCTCATAACTTCTTAAATGAAGATAACATTCAAATGGTGGATTAAATTGTTAATCCTCAATGAAGTTAATCTGAAAACTTCGTAGAGAAAGATAACATTGATGGTGGATAAGTTCATTTTGGTGCTAGATTATCACCTTAATAATTTAGTGTGAAAGTAGTATGACTCACGAAGAAAATAAACGACGCCCGTGTGGTAGAGATACAAGCAGGGGTAGGCTGACAGTGTCAGAGTTTCGGGAGATTTTAAAGGGGCCCACAACCACAAATTAAAACTGTCTATGTGTGTTGTTTTTATCTATCAAAGCTTGAGTTTAACGCATTGGTATGAAGTACTTGAAATAGTAAAATGGAGACATACAAATAAAATAATATCTTTTTAAACAAGTGAACTCGAATAGGATTATTACAGCACCAATCCTAGGGGCACACTGAAATTTTTCACGGTAGATCACTAGGCCAGTTCACCCTTATGCTTATGCATCAAGAAGGGACTGGAACGACGACAAATAAATAAATGAGAGAAAATGATCAATTGGGCTAATTGGGTTGTTCAAGAAGTAATTTTGTTTTAATAATGCTGCTTATGTAATAAAATGGCAAACCGGAATAAAAATAGCCCATATCGATTTTAATCACGTCAGGGAAAGGAAAGACAGCTGGGTATAAAACTGACCATCCAGTGGTACAGCAATAGATCTTTTCCAAGCTCAGGGACGTAGGCGGGGGGGGGGGTGGAGCGGTCGCCCCTGGAAGCCGACTTTACAGGCGAAAAAAGGGGTTAGTAAAAAAAAAACTAGCTTCGATCTGCAGTATTGAATCGCCACAGCCGAGGTTAAGAAAATAGACTAATACTTACCTTATCCTACTAACTGTTATATGTATTAATTGCAGCTTTTTTGTGGGGGGGGGGGGGGGGGAGGGGAGGGGTGGTCAACATTTTTTTGGGGGGGGGGGGGGGGGGCGGACACTAGTAAAAGTGTATGTTTACTATATTAATTTCATCTCGTTCGGGGGGCGGGAGACGGTAGATTTTCTTCGGTTGGAGGTGGGGGCTCGCCTCCCCCCTCCCCCGAAGAGATGCCTGGAAGAAACTCTGATTAATTGTGTGACAGAAAAGTAAAACTCTAATGAACGAATAAGGGGGGGGGGGATGGTGCATATTAGCCATTGTAAATAACTTTATAAAGCTAAGGGTAGGGGGTGGAAATCGCTTGCTAGTCCCCGGTGCCTGGGTGGCTAGCTAGGCGTCTGTCCTAGCTTTAAAACTAAATGGCCCCACGTGTGAATCTGAGGTGGGCGTCTTTCCAGGGTTGTGTACACATTAAAAAAAATAATTTCGTAAGCCTAAACACTTATCGCAAAATAAATTTAAGCAGTTCAGAGATCGCCAACAAGAGACGAAGTAGAGAAATAATCACACATTTAAAACAAATTAAATACATCTAAATACAATAAAATGGCGTGTTTCTTATGGCTGGCGCTCAGGAGTGGAGAGATAACTTTGAGTTAAATTTAAAGATTAGGAACTCATGTGTCTAACTAGCAAAAGACCATCAGACACCACTACAGAATGATATTAGCTTTTAAACATCACTATAAACTTGAAGCCGTGAATGCTGTTTGCTTCGATCACATATAACACCTCATATATATTTAATTAGGAGTACATATATGGGAATAGCACAAAACAAAACACAAACACAAAAGAAAACATAACGCAAACATAACCACAAACACAAACACAATAGAAAAAGCAAATGCAAATGCAAACACAAACACAAATGCGAACGCAACCACAAACGCAAACGAAAAAAGAAAAACACATATATATTAAATGTGAAAAAAATAAGTCCGGTGAGCTGGTGTTCACCTATGTTGATTAAGGACCAAATACACATGTAAGAGTGCTATAACGGGTAGGTATAGCTCCTATTCTGTCACATATGTTCTTTTTAAAGTAAATAATATATCATTAATATTTAATGAAATTAATACCAATTAAATAAGGACTTTAGAGAACCTTTAACATAATGAGCATTGAACGGCACTAAAAGTTTAGAAACCAGACATAAAACATTTGTAACTTTAGTGGCATAAGTATTGGTCATTCAATGTTTTCAACATATTCTGTATAGCTTTAAAATTTAGGCAATAAAAAAGGGAAGACAACAACCAATATGGGACGGGTTAGTCCTTGGTAGTGGTACTGCGGTTGTCAAAGGACAGAAGACAGAGTGTATTGCAGGAATCTGATCGGATAAAACAAGTTCCGCACCAAATGACCAACTAGAAATGTAAACAGTAGAATTGAATTTAAAAGATTAGAAAAACATATCATTATATATCTATATGCGAAGGTGCCTGTGATTTGAAGCGTAAAACCCGTGAGAAAAAAAAATGTGTCTGGATGTTAATTAATTACCTCGACACATCAGGTTAATTAACTGACAGCTTATCAATGACTGACAGAGCCCACATAAAAAACAACACTTTTTAATCACGTGACTGTTGAAGGTCACTAAACTTTAACTCTGAAACTGCGAGAAGTTTCTTGTAAGATGTAAGTGATTGTTCAATCGATGTAATCACTCCAGGTATTTATTGATGACTTTTCTTTTGCATGTGTATAAGCATGTAAAATGTATATATAAATAATGCATCCACGTTTAACTTATATATATATATATATATATATATATATATATATATATATATATATATATATATATATATATATATATATATATATATATATATATATATATATATATATATATGTATATATATATATATATATATATATTACATAGAAACACACACACACATAAATATATATATATATATATATATATATATATATATATATATATATATATCTACTTAAGTCTAGACACACATACATACACATATATGTACTCTCTATAGAGCACTGTATGCACACCCACATACATACAGACATATATATATATATATATATATATATATATATATATATGTATATATATATATATATATAATTCTAGCTTTTCTGTAGCAAGTTAAAGATGCTGTCACACTCAATGGATCTGCTGTTTGGCTTAACGTTTGTGATACACTTACGTAAGTTGAAAGTTAACATTACTAAAAAAAAACTTTAAACTCTCTAATCAAACTTCTGTTAACTTAAACGTTTCAATTAGCGAATGAATTCATCATATGATTGTAGGACTACTTATGCCATGTCGGTTTTTCAGTGTTGGCTGTAGTTAGTAGGTCGGATGCTTCATCGTCCAATGTAATGACTACAGAGACAAGTCAGCAATCGGTGAATCCACAGATCGAAGAGATCGAAAACACAATGATCAGCTCGCTCGACGACGAATCTGCTTTGACTGGTGAGGGGGAAGCGATCGGAAAATCTGGGACAAGTAAAAAGAAGATAACCCTTTACAAAGGTAACTCATTGATGAAATTATTTAAAAAATTGCTAAACAAATAAACTGCAAAACTAGAGTAGAATACGTACATCTGTACAAACTGGCATACTAAAATGAAAGTACGTTCAGCGGTTATCGTTCTAGATTAGAGTTAACTAATGTGTATCATAATACATCTTAAATTAGGAAACACCGTTGTATCCGAACTCGCGAGAAGTAAAGAAATTCGGCCTCTTATCATCTTAAATTTTCATAATGCTTTTAAAACTAAAAAAGTAGTTGTAGGCTCATCACAACACCTCGTTCCACAGATTTTTTTTCCATTGTGCCTGCGGACTAATCCACCTCTGTGGATATGAGAAAATGTACTTTAGTGATTGAGTACTGAATAGCCTACCCTAAACTCTCGTGTTCAGTTCATTTGCTCAAGTTCTTAGTTACTCACAGAGTCTACACAGCTGTAACGGGTACCTGGCTACAATTGGGGAATGTAAAAGCGATTGGGCATAACGATAATGAAAACATTTAGTACATATTGCTTAGGCTTTAAAACACTGTACTTCGTCTGCGTTAGTGACTGACGGACCTAAAACAAAACTCTCTACAATACTTTGTATTCAATACCAAGTGTGGGGTAGTTGAAGAAGAACATTAGATACGAGCCGATAGTACCAACGCTGCCACTGAAAATATTTCGTTAAAACACTATTAGTAGCTCGTTAAGGACGATAATCCCCCCTCCTCCCCCCCCCTCCGTTAATGTAAACTCCACTTAGTTACCCCCCCCCCCCTACGTTTAAAATCGTTTCAAACTAAATTATCTGCCCCTAATAGTCGTCACTAAACCCGGCTCTGCTTATAAACATTTAGCGTGAACCACAGCTCACCAGACCATGTAGGGGTGGGGAGGTAGGGATCGCGTTTACAGCTTGTTTTCTAGCGTCTCCCAGAAGAGAATTATATATATAGATACGTTATGGTACGACATTGCTATAAGTCTAAAATGGTTAGTGAAGGGGTTTAGATTTAGCTTCTGGTTAAATCTTCAAGATTAGATTTCTAATCATGTGGTTAGTGTGAGAGTAGGTTTAGCTTCCTGATTACTACTCAGGTTTAGATTTCTTATCATCTGGTTAGTGTGAGAGTAGGTTTAGGTTCCTGTTTACTCCTCAGGTTTAGATGTCTTAACATCTGGTTAGTGTGAGAGTAGGTTTAGCTTCCTGTTTACTCCTCAGGTTTAGATTTCTTATAATCTGGTTAGTGTAAGAGTAGGTTTAGCTTCCTGTTTACTCCTCAGGTTTAGATCTCTCGACGTCTGACAAAAAGGTCATCGTCTCTGTGACAGAGAATGTGACCCTGACATGTCGCGCCATACCAATTCTGATCAGGGAAATGCCAGTTTACAAAGTAGGTGCTCATATATATATATATATATATATATATATATATATATATATATATATATATATATATATATATATATATATATATATATATATATGTATGTGTCTGTGTGTGTGTGTATAGCCTATATATATATATATATATATATATATATATATATATATATATATATATATACACGTTATTTTATTTTTAAACTCTGTTATTAAAAATGTTATCCCTTGGTATCTCTTAAAGGTGTAAAGTTGCATATTTAATCAGGATAAAAAAAATTTGAATTTTTAAATTGTATGTTTTACATCGCTACATATTACCTTGAACTGGATTACTAATGGTGCAAATATAGATATGCCCATTTTATTTATTAATTGAAAAAAAACGCAAAAAACTTACTTATTTTTCAATAAAAACAAATTCAAAGTAGTTTATAAAGTTAATAAGGGTTTGAAAGTCAGTTAGCCTAAGTTCTGTTACTAGTTTGTGTATAGCGGATTTGTAAGATCACATTAAATAATATTTGGAAGCATTATTCATTATACACATTTGAAAAGCCTGTATACATTCTCAAAATGTAGATCTGTAAAATTTAAGCATTAATTAAACAATGCTACTAAGAAGACGAAATGGAACAAAATTATTACACATCCACTAAACCAATAATTTTAGCGATACTACTGATGATTTTTTTAAAGAAGAAAAATGTTGTTTAATCTTGGATACATTTCATTTTCAGCTTTTGAGATTGGAAATGCACAAAGTTGATCCAAACACAGGTAACGAAATTTGTAAATATAATAAAAAAAATAATAATAAAAAAATAATGATCATAATTTGGTTGCATCCTAGAACACCAATAAAAAATAAACCGGGAGTGATCTCCCCTAAACTTTCTCGAATATTCTTATATAAAAATAACAGGGGATGGGAACTTGGGATATAGACATGATTTTTAATCCATTTTAAATACTTAAACTTTTAAAAATAGAATAAAATCTCGTAGAAAAGAGAGTTGTACACCAAGTGAACGCCAAATAAAATATGCATAATCGTTCAGAATATTATTAGTACTTTATAAATTCACATGCGTTTTTTTTTTTGAGAAATCGGAAATAGCGTAAATTACTACTTCTGGTAAACAGAAATTTCTCAAAATTTGTCAGATGGTAGGGAATTAGATCTTTTACTTAAATCTGAAATTTTATTTATCTATCTGAAATAATACTCAAGTAATAGGCTTTTGAAAAATTCAAAGTAGAAAAAAGTACCACTTCTGGTTATCGGAAATTGCTCAAAAGTTGATACGGATCTACGATTTTGATATAATACTTATATATAATTTTTATTAACCTAGCTGTAACGGTACTCAAGTTACCGTGTTTTCACACACACACAAACAAACACACACACACAGACATAAAGACAAGATTGCAAAACTATGTTTTATCCGACTCAGAGAGGTGTAAAACGTCGAAATCTGCAAAAATCTCATTTTTATTTTCACGATTACAAGACTTTCTCTATACTTCGTATATACGAGAAAGTAAAAATGTAAATATTTTGGTAAATGATAATGCCACATTAGCCCTAATTCTTGCTTTCGTTACAACAATTCTAATCCAGTCCTATTATCCTAATAATATCCCTGACGGTGGTAGTAGGATGTAAATGGCCACAATAAAATATCACTACTTCATGACGATTATAGCATTTTTGCCTGTTATTTCTCCCGTAATTCGGCCTTATTTGACAATAAGGGACATAGCGTCAGGTATTCACAATGTACTTGTTTGCATTGAGATTTATCGGTACTGACGAAATGGAAATTCAGAGTTTTATAAATACTGTTAAAATTATTTAAAGTAAGCAATTGTTATATATATATACAATGTCATGAAATTTGTGTTCTAAATTTTAAAATTGTTTTTTTTTAAATTTAAATTAGAAGAAAAATAATCTAGATGTTAATATGCAATTCGAGCATTTCCATTTTGACAGTACGGGCTTATTTATGTAAAGATAGTCGAATTATGCTGTCTTTACGAGTCAATGTTGTATGTGATGTAAAACGTGAGCTCTTATTTTTCAGCTTCTTCCGCTGTTATCGCCAGGGTTGAAAGAAATTCGGTCCCGGTGATCAACGACATAGAAAACAGCGAAGAGATGTTAACAAAGGGACGTATACACAAAAAGGTTGTTCTTATAAGTTAACACAGTGGTTCTTAAACCTTGCTGAGGTACTGTACACCATCAATTTCGTATGCGCATTCAATGAACCCTTTTTTTAATAGTTCTTTCGACAACACTAGCGAAATCGGATTGCGAATCGTACGAGTCGGGTGTGTTTTGAACTCCGCTGAACCCCTGAGACTGGCTCACCGAACCCCTGGGGTTCGATAGAACCCAGGTTAAGAGCCACTGGGTTAACAATACGTGGATGGATAAGAAGATTTGTTTTTATATACCAGAGTTCAGATATCCTTGTGTGGAAATTGTAATCAGCTGAGTAATATAAACAAAATAGTTTTCAATAGCCTAGATAGATATGTATAAAAATCTGCTTATTATGTATAATTATTGAAGAAGAACGTACAACATTGGTTATAATATCCAATGTAAACATTGCGAATTCGATAGACAGTGGCGTAGGCAAGGGGGGTTAGGGGGTTATAACCCCTCCCATCTACTCACACCCCGGTCCAAGGTGCTTTGACCACAGGTGCTTTGACCATAGGGGGTTTCACCATAGGGGCTTTGTCCTCAGCGTTGCTTTGACCACAGATGGGCTTTGACCATAGGAGCTTTGTCTACAGCGGGGCTTTGACCACAGATGGGCTTTGACCATAGGAGCTTTGTCTACAGCGGGGCTTTGACCACAGATGGGCTTTCACCATAGGAGCTTTGTCTACAGCAGGGCTTTGACCACAGATGGGCTTTCACCATAGGAACTTTGTCTACAGCGGGGCTTTGACCACCGATGGGCTTTCACCATAGGAGCTTTGTCTACAGTGGGGCTTTGACCACAGATGGGCTTTGACCATAGGAGCTTTGTCTACAGCGGGGCTTTGACCACAGATGGGCTTTCACCATAGGAGCTTTGTCTACAGCGGGGCTTTGACCACAGATGGGCTTTCACCATAGGAGCTTTGTCTACAGCGGGGCTTTGACCACAGATGGGCTTTCACCATAGGAGCTTTGTCTACAGCGGTGCTTTGACCACAGATGGGCTTTGACCATAGGAGCTTTGTCTACAGCGGGGCTTTGACCACAGATGGGCTTTGACCATAGGAGCTTTGTCTACAGCGGGGCTTTGACCACAGATGGGCTTTGACCATAGGAGCTTTGTCTACAGCGGGGCTTTGACCACAGATGGGCTTTCACCATAGGAGCTTTGTCTACAGCGGGGCTTTGACCACAGACGGGCTTTGACCATAGGAGCTTTGTCTACAGCGGGGCTTTGACCACAGATGGGCTTTGACCATAGGAGCTTTGTCTACAGCGGGGCTTTGACCACAGATGGGCTTTCACCATAGAAGCTTTGTCTACAGCGGGGCTTTGACCACAGATGGGCTTTCACCATAGGAGCTTTGTCTACAGCGGGGCTTTGACCACAGATGGGCTTTGACCATAGGAGCTTTGTCTACAGCGGGGCTTTGACCACAAATGGGCTTTCACCATAGAAGCTTTGTCTACAGCGGGGCTTTGACCACAGATGGGCTTTCACCATAGGAGCTTTGTCTACAGCGGGGCTTTGACCACAGATGGGCTTTGACCATAGGAGCTTTGTCTACAGCGGGGCTTTGACCACAGATGTGTTTTCTTGTTGCCCCGAGCCGGGTCGCGTGTTATAGATCATACAGTCTCCGATCTGTCATCAGTCAGGCTCCTAGCGATCTTTAGTGATTTGACAGCCAGTCATTATTAACGTTTTCAACTTGTGTGTGGGTTTTTAAGCAACCTAAAGCTCAATGTCTCACCTATGTGTTATATCTACCAAAAGCTACCTAAAGCTACCTGACTCACCTATGTTTTATATCTACCAAAAGCTACCTGACTCACCTATGTGTTATATCTACCAAAAGCTACCTAAAGCTACCTGACTCACCTATGTGTTATATCTACCAAAAGCTACCTAAAGCTACCTGACTCACCTATGTGTTATATCTACCAAAAGCTACCTAAAGCTACCTGACTCACCTATGTGTTATATCTACCAAAAGCTACCTAAGAGCTACCTGACTTACCTATGTGTTATATCTACCAAAAGCTACCTAAAGCTACCTGATTCATCTATGTGTTATATCTACCAAAAGCTACCTAAAGCTACCTGACTCACCTATGTGTTATATCTACCAAAAGCTACCTAAAGCTACCTGACTCACCTATGTGTCATATCTACCAAAAGCTACCTAAAGCTACCTGACTCACCTATGTGTTATATCTACCAAAAGCTACCTAAAGCTACCTGACTCACCTATGTGTTATATCTACCAAAAGCTACCTGACTCACCTATGTGTTATATCTACCAAAAAGCTACCTGTCTCACGTATGATTACCTTTCTACCAAAAGCTACCTAAAGCTACCTGACTTACCTATGTGTTATATCTACCAAAAGCTACCTAAGAGCTACCTGACTTACCTATGTGTTATATCTACCAAAAGCTACCTAAGAGCTACCTGACTTACCTATGTGTTATATCTACCAAAAGCTACCTAAGAGCTACCTGACTTACCTATGTGTTATATCTACCAAAAGCTACCTGACTCACCTAAGTGATGTATCTACCAAAAGCTACCTGACTCACCTATGTGTTATATCTACCAAAAGCTACCTGACTTACCCATGTGTTATATCTACCAAAAGCTACCTGACTCACCTATGTGTTATATCTACCAAAAGCTACCGGACTCACCTATGTGTTATATCTACCAAAAGCTACCTAAAGCTACCTGACTCACCTATGTGTTATATCTACCAAAAGCTACCGGACTCACCTATGTGTTATATCTACCAAAAGCTACCTAAAGCTACCTGACTCACCTATGTGTTATACCTACCAAAAGCTAGCTGACTCACCTATGTGTTATATCTACCAATAGCTACCTGACAGCTACCTGACCATCCTCTGGCCTGTAGCCGTGGACGAGACACCGGGTAGTTACTTCTGCAAAGGAATTTTCTACACAGACAAGTCTGAGACGACAACCACTCCCGTGTTTGCAGTTGCCCCGGTAATCATTGACACAGAGGGTGAGTTGAATCCAAGATTAGTGCCAGCATTTGCAGGCACCAGTCGCAGACTAGTAGATATTTACCAATCAGGGTGTGGTATCGCAGTTTTGTGCACGTTTATAAGGGAAGAAAGTCATACATAGGTAATGATGCTATGTGGTAACAATTTATTACTAACAATAAACGGTTAAAAATTAAAAATAAAAACTGATCTTAGTTGGTCTGATCAGTGGCGTAGCGAGGTCGGTTGTCACCCGGTGCGGCACTTAATGGTGTCACCCCCCCAGAGGCGTAGCGACCCTTCCAGGCTTTCGATTTGCACCCCCCTCAAACTTTAGATTAGCACCCCCCCCCCCCTCCTTCCTTGTCGGGATTTGTCAAATTTGCTCTTAAAAGACTTTTAACACTCGAATTAATCACTTAATTAAGTGGAATTATCATTTTTATCTATATATTTTTGCTATTTTTTGCCTAGGTGTCACCCCCTAAATGGTGTCATCCGGTGCGGTCCGCACCCCGCCACCCCCTCCCCTCGCTACGCCACTGGGTCAGATGTAATAGTTTATTACAGACTATAAGTGGCAATAGTACTTTATAGTACTGTCCAAATAATAACTGTCGGTAATAACTGTTTAGTGAGGCTGAGAGAAGGAGGTATATAACAATAGAGGGTCAAAACTATCAGTCCAATTCCTACCATATAAGGTCAGAAGTAACTGTTACAAGTCAACTATAATGGATCAGTGTTAAAAAGTGATTAGCAGTAACACTTACTAGTAAAGACCATAACGGGAGGTCTAAAGTGGAATTTTAAATTTAATCTACGACTTAATTAGTCAGTGGTTCTAACATTGGTAAGGGCAGAGCATTAGTTATGGCAGTGACCATAACCGGAGGTTATCGCTGAATATTTTAGGGACGGCGGTGGCCTAGAGGTAGAGCGCTAGAATGCTAACCCGAAAGTTCGAATCCGAGTTTAAGTCAGTAGAGTGTCTTTAGTCAACCCAGCTCTGATGGGTACCTAATTCACGTTATGTAAAACAAATTCGGCTGACCACACTATCCCTTCATATGGAGAGGACTCTGAAACAAATGAACTCTACTTCATCTGTCCTATGTGTCTTGAGCAAAAACCGGAAAAGATGATGAAAAACCTAAACTACGATTTTCTTAGCGGTTGATCTTGGGTAAGCTAGAAATTACCTGCAATTGTTAAGCAGTTTTACGAAAGTACATAGGTAAAATGGTACCATTTCTACTGCAAAGTATAAGATACTAAAAATTGGCGAGATGTAATCAGATGTAATTAGATGTAATCAGATGTAATTAGATGTTCTTATGTATCTTACAGACATTGATCTGATAGCAATCATCCGTTTGCTCAGAAAACAGAAAATGCAAGGTAAGTATTAGGGCGTTTAAAAATAAAAAAATATTTTTAAAAAAATTTAAAAAATAGACTAATATTGTGTAGTTTTCACTCACCGTCTGTCTTATTTTGGTAAAAATTGACCATTTGCAAGTGGTGATTTGTAGAAAGTAGTTACTCTAGCTTAAAATTTAAACTACCATTTTAACATGGTCATGACATACGCCCTTTTGATGTTTTAGAGTACATATTCACCATTTGCTCGACATAATGAAGACCACATTATCCTTTCATATGCTGAGGTCACTGTAACACATGAACTCTACTTCATCTGTCCCATGTGTCTTGGGCACGAACGGGAAAATATGAGATTACGTCAGGATTTACCCTTCGTAATGCAAGATGTTTAGTTTTCATCAAGAATGTACTAGCCCGGTGCCCCCCCCCCCCCCCCCACCCCACCCCCACCGGTAAAAAGTCTCAGTGGGCACCCATTAACGGTGCTGTACTAAGCCTACTAGGCCTTTGATTTAAAAAAAATAATTTGTCGTGTGAATTCCCATCAAACTGAGGATGATCATCAGCCTTTGTTGAGGTGAAAAAAAGAACAATGAAAAATGTAATTCGGCGTCGGAGGCCCCAATTTTGTTTTACTATTTTGATGATGTGTAGAAGTCAAGTACCAGTTTGATTATTTGTTACGTTAATGTAGAGTTTATATAATATTGATTTACGTTGTACTTTCTGTTGATTTATAGAAGGCATGTACCACTTTGATTATTTGTAAAGTAGAGCTTATATGATATTATTTACGTTGTACTTTCTCATGATTTGTAGAAGGCATGGATCAGTTCAATAATTTGTTACTTTAATGTAGAGTTTATATGATACTTACTTACTTTGAACTGTTCTGATGCTTTGTAGAAGCCATGTACCAGTTTGATTATTCGAAGGGCTAATGCAGCGTTTAGATGAAATGTATTTATTTGTTACTATTTTGATGATGTGTAGAAGTCATGTATCAGTTTGATTATTTGTAATGTAGAGTTTATATGCTATTCATTAACTTTTTACTGTTAAGTGATAGAGAACAGAGATCGGTTGCAAGAGCTATTGGAGCGCAAACAGAAACTTATGGAATACTTTTCTCGTCTAAAAGACAAAGGTAAGAAGTTCTTGTTGCTCTTCTTTTTTTCGTTCTTTCATTGTATTATTGGAGTGTATTCAAACTTCTCTCGTCTGAAAGACAAAGGTAAGAAGTTCTGAAGCTTGTTTGAAGCTGCGTAAATATTTTTTTCGTCGTTGTATTTTAATATTCGAGTGCATTCAACACAAGTAATAAGTGTCAGCATTTCATACGCAATATGGTTAGTATCATCTTGCTTGTTTGTACTTAGTTTGATTCCATAGCTTTTGTTTATCCAAGAACAATCTACTAGGCCGTAATTATTTTAAAATTTGGACGATTCTGTCCTAGATATGTTGCTGTCCTAGATATGTTGCTGTCCTAGTCTAGATATGTTGCTGTCCTAGTCTAGATATGTTGCTGTCCTAGTCTAGATAAGTTGCTGTCCTAGATATGTTGCTGTACTAGTCTAGATATGTTGCTGTCCTAGTCTAGATAAGTTGCTGTCCTAGATATGTTTCTGTCCTAGATATATTGCTGTCCTAGATATATTGCTGTCCTAGATATGTTTCTGTCCTAGATATGTTTCTGTCCTAGATATGTTGCTGTCCTAGATATGTTGCTGTCCTAGATATGTTGCTGTCCTAGATATATTGCTGTCCTAGATATGTTGCTGTCCTAGATATGTTGCTGTTCTAGATATATTGCTGTCCTAGATATGTTGCTGTCTTAGATATGTTGCTGTCCTATTCTAGATAAGTTGCTGTCCTAGATATTTTGCTGTCCTAGACATGTTTCTGTCCTAGATATGTTGCTGTCCTAGTCTAGATATGTTTCTGTCCTAGATATATTGCTGTCTTAGATATGTTGCTGTCCTAGATATGTTGCTGTCCTAGATATGTTGCTGTCCTAGATATATTGCTGTCCTAGATATATTGCTGTCCTAGATATGTTGCTGTCCTAGATATGTTTCTGTCCTAGATATATTGCTGTCTTAGATATGTTGCTGTCTTAGATATGTTGCTGTCCTAGATATATTGCTGTCCTAGATATGTTACTATCCTAGATATGTTGCTGTCATCAGCTATCGAGCCTCATCTGCCCAGAGGTCCCTCCCTGATAATACTGTAGACCTACCTTAAAGACTTGTTGCAAAGTAGAGCGCGCGATTTCTATCGCAAAAGTCTTTAGTTCGGATCCCGGGCTTTAGTACGTAATACGTTGCTGAGTTCACCCAGATGTAATGGATATCTGACTTACGTTTGGGAAAGTCAAGTCCCTAAGCAAAGAACTGATCATACAGCTCTTTTTTATTACAGATCCCATAGATCTTTTTAGAATCTTCTATCAAGGCAAATAGTGGAACAACCCACTATACAATCATTTGTAAAGTGAACTAAAACATTTTAAAATTAAAAATATTCTATGTTTTTTTAAACATTAGCCGTTGGTATATAAGTTTATGTAAAAATTGAACGTGAGAAGCACTCGATGTTATTAAATTAATTTTATATCTGCTATTGCAAAAAGACTAATTACAATTGTGAGTCATATTTTTTAAAGTCTAGTCACCTGAGGAAGTTAGATAATCTAGTAACAGTGGTTCCCAACCCTTTTCGACTGGCGACCCCCTTTTATAAAACGTAAGTGACCCACGACCCCCCATATTAATTAACAAGTCGAAATTAGTAAAGAAAATAATAAGCACTAAATTAATATTTTCTAGTAGACTTTCAATATGAATTATTCTCGGTTTTAATACGATGAGCAGAATTACATGCTATTAACAAGCATTAACTAGCATTAACAATTAAATTTTGCAAATTTAAGAATTCATCTTGTTATTCATCGGCAATGCTTGAAACATCAAGGAAAGCAGAGAATGGGTGACAATGCAGATTCTTCTTCTTTCAGCTCGGGGAAAATAACGCCGCGGTTCGTTGTCAAGAGATTCAAGATGCACAGAATCCTTTAAAAAATATATCTATCACACCACACTGCAGAGTTTCTCAAACATGGCAGTATTTCAAATATTTATTTTTCCTCGCCAATTTTGCAGCTTTGATAAAAATGCCAAGAGATTATCATGAAAAGAGATAATATTCGTTCCTTTATCAAGTTAAGCTTATGTTGATGTTCGAATATATCTGCTAGGTATGATACTCTCTCCAATCACACCATGTCGTTAAAGTATATCAAAAGGTCTTGTTTCTTTGCACTTCTAAGAACATCTTGATTTCATCTTTCAATTCAAAAACACGATTGACATTTCCTATTGACAGCCAGCGTACTGAAACATGACGCATAATACGTACAAGCCCCACAGCCGTTTTCCCATTTTAATCCTCCAGTTTCAAAAAACGTATTTTATTTCTCCATGATATCTTTACAAAACATCAACTTTTATTTGCTAACATCTGAACGAATATATTTCACAAAGACAAGCAACTGCGAACACGAACTCACGTATGTCGATTCGTCAACTTGAAAATCAAACAATGGTGAAAGCTTGATTTCATTCTAAATTTGTCTTTTAACATAAGTCGCTGCATAGTATTATTAGACAGAGATATTTGTTGCATCCTTAATGCACTGCAATCCCCAAGAATTAATTTTACCATCTTCAGCATACATGGTTTGATGAGATTTTCTCCTTTGCGTGAGAGGTTTTTTGCTTGTTAATTTCTAATACTACTTTATATGATACTTGCACTAATGCTGTGTTTTCTTGGTGAAAACGTTCTGTTCGATCAAGTCTCTGACGTTTGCAACTAGCTTCATGCCGACGAAATAACTACATATCTTTTTTGGTGTGTTAAGAATGACTCGTCTTAAATTGACGTTTGGAAGTTTTCATAGACTCCTGACTAAGAACAACTTTGCACAGTACACATTGTTTATTCTCTATTCAATTTCCAGTGATGTTAGTAATGCCGACTTTGAAATATTTTTCTAAATATTTATGTTTTTTATTCATTGCTAGAGTTTAGTATACCAGTTGGCGACCCCCCAGAAAGCCCTTCGCGACCCCCAAGGGGGTCGCGACCCCCAGGTTGGGAACCCATAATCTAGTTCTTATATGGTTAGTAGATGTGGTTGAATTATATGGTTATATGTTAGTGTGTATGTGGGGTATTTCTTTTATGTAAGTAGCGTTGTATACAGATAGCAAGCAAACCAAATTTGACTTAATATCTATTTAGACACATTTGAAGTAATATAGTGTAATCTCGCTATAAGAACAGATGTAGATAAAGTTTAATAAAAAAAAATCAAGCAAATGATCATCACACATTTTTTTAACTTTTAAAATTTTTGGAACTTTCAGAGACACTCTATCGTCACCACTGGCCTAGTGGCAACTTCGCTTTGGTGGAGCCATCCACCGGATGTCCACCAATATTTCACCAATCGTGGTCCGTATCAAAGATGATCATTCCAAGGTATCGCCTCACAAGCAAGAAGGATACAATACCGAAACATTTCAGTGAGTTGGAAGAGAAAGTGTTGTGACTTGTAGTCATTATGTTATAAGAGATTTATTTTTAAGAGCGAATTTGATCTGAAAGTCTAAGATACATTCTTGTTATCTGGCTAGTAGTACGCATGGAAGTTCCATAATTCTCGCGGGCCCTAACTCTTAGCAGTGACTGTTGATAAAAAAAATACCAAGTTCGGCTCCTGTTCTTTGGCATGGGGTTTTGATAATACTTACCGACCCTAACTCGTAACAGCGACCGTTGATTAAAACAAAATGCCAAGTTCGGCTTTTGTTCTTTGGCATGGTGTTTTAATGATACTTACAGGCTATAACTCTTAACATCGACAGTTGATCAGAAATACTAATCTCAGCTCCGGTTCTTTAGCTTGGGATTTCAATAACGTTTAGGGACTCTAACAGCGAATTTGGGCAGAACGTTTACGTTTACTTCCTGCTCTCTCTTTATAAGCATGTATGATCTATTGGTATAAATAGCGATTGGTAGAGCGCGCAATTACAATTAATGATTTCAAATCTCTGGTTCTGATTGATTTTGTAGATTTCAATGAGTCTTTTCAGCTCTAATAAGTACCTGGCCTAAATTTAACAAAAAAACTTAACTTCAATGCCCCTGTAACTTTGCAGTCCTTATCCAAGTAATACTTCAACATTTTAGCCGTGGATATTACTTCAGTTAAAAATGAATACCTGTTTAATGGTATTTAAAAGACATTTTTATTATTGTTTACATTTTCAGAAAAATCAGCCCTAGGAAGTTCAGATATTGAAACCAGTTTTTGTCAAATCGACGGTAGAGGATTCTGGGACTGGCCAGCTGGAGATTACTGCATCAACAAACACATCTCCGAGTCCCCGTGTCCTAAAGGTAAGGCTGTCGTCGTGGTTTAAAAATAGACGTGACGCCAACCCCACGTCGTAACTTAATTACAAGTTTAATGTTATAAATTACGAGCTGACCCGCGGCATAACATACGCCGCTATTTAGTTGTTGTTTTTTCTACTTTTCAGTAATACATAATTTGTGAATTCGACAGTACCAACGCTGACACTGAAAATATTTCTTTAAAACACTATAAGTAGCTCGTTAAGGACCATAACCCCCCCCCTGTTCCCCCTCCCCCCCTCCCCCCCCCCCCCAACGTTTAAAATCGTTTCAAACTAATTTATCTGCCCCTAATAGCCGTCACTAAACCCGACTCCACGAAGGTAAACATAGCGTGAACCACAGCTCACTAAGATCATGTAGGGGTGGGGATAGTAGGGAGCGCGTTTACAGCTTGTTTTCTAGCGTCTCCAAGAAGAGAATTATATATATAGATGATGAAATGTTTTGAGATCGCTGGAACGGTGTACTTATGTTATCGTGTTCAGAGAAAGACAGACCGACAGACATACAGACACACAGGCACACGGACACATAGGTACATAGATACATAAAACAAGACACACAGGCTTACAAAGACCGACACGATGACACAAAGACACACAGACGCACTGACACACTAACACACAGACCCACATACGTACATACACACACACACACACACACACACAGATACACACACACATAGATGAACAGACAAAATTGTAAAACTAGTTTTTTCCGACTCGGGGAGGTGTGAAACGTCGAGATTTTGATGTTTTTCACGATTACTATACATCCTCTGTTCTCCGTATACGAGAAAGTAAAAACATATGTATTGTGAGAAACCTCTACCACTACACATTTTTTTTGTCTCACATTCAATCATCCTATCATTCAATCAATCATTCCTTCGCCCTCATTAAGATCGTTGGGGCACCACATAATTTTCTCATACAGTTTTCCGCAATCTGTCTCGGTCCTCTCCTGCTGTGAGTAGTTCTGATATAAGGCAGGGGTCTCCAAACTACGGCCCGCGGGCCGGAGGCGGCCCGCGATGTCCTCTCATCCGGCCCGCTGAGATCTTTTTTGTCCACGGAAAAAACGTTTGCTGGTGATGGATGAGGAACTTTGCCCAGAAAAATCAAAGACATACCTAGAAGAAACTGGTCCCCGAATTGAAATTTAATGGTAAATGTGGCCCTCGGACTGAAAAGTTTGGAGACCCCTGATACAAGGTGAAGAGTCCAATCTTTGAAGCCATCCATCCAGTGACGTCTTTGTCTTTCTGTTCTTCTCCCTCCTGGCACAATGCCTTGCATTTTTCTTTTAGCAGACCGTTGGGGGTCATCCATAAATGACGGCACACTCGTAGGGGGAGGGGGGGGGGGGTCCGTAATTTTGTGACGATGTGTGATGAGGGGGGGGGGGTGTTCGATGTTGCGACGTCACATTTTTGCATTATAAAAAAAGCAATGTTAGAAAACGAATTTTAGACGTTATTTCGCGTTTTAGATAACTGTTTTAATAAATTGTAATACTTTAGACCAGATTTTGGAAAAATATCGATGTTTGAAAAAAATTCAACTGCAATTTTGAGGGGGGGGGTTGTAGGTTGAGGTGTGACGTTATTTTAGGGGGGGGGGTCTGGCTTTTTGTGACGACGTGTGACGGAGGGGAGGGGGGGAGGTAAAAATCGTAAAAAAAAGCGTGACGTCATTTATGGATGACCCCCTTGGCTCATGTGACGTGTCCAGACTATCGCGATTTTTTATAAACGCTCAAATAAACCAAAACGCATAAATATCACATTAGCCCCATTTATATTTTATTATGATAAACTTAAATAAATAAATGATCGCTAAGATCCGAAAATGCGCCTGATAAGATCTAATACATGCCTTAGATAAGATAAAATATACCCTCTTATAAATTACATGCTCTGGTATTGTCGGTCTTATGCCCCTGACTATACTAAAAAAATGTTATGACATGATCCATAATATACGTCACCAGTATATGAAGTATACATTTATATTAAGATACACCATACGCCGTGGATAAGATCAAGTACAAGACAATCGCATTGCTTCAAACCACAACAAAACGACAGCAGTTTTCCACTCTGTACGTTTTATAATAGGGATTGTAAGTCTACGGCCTCGGAATCTACTAGCTGGCAAGAACGAGAAGTTGTGACCTACTTACAAGCCCTATTGTTTCACACCACAGGTTTCCAGGAGGGCAGCATCCGCCTCAGCATCAAAAAGTCAAGGTCAGGGTCGCCGGGTGATGAGCTCGACAAACAACCGTCATCTAAGTCTGTTTCTTTCTGCTGCAGGTCAAGTGGCTATATTTTCTTACAACTGAATATTTGTGTGTGTATATATATATATATATATATATATATATATATATATATATATATATATATATATATATATATATATATATATATATATATATATACATATATATTTACATGTATATATATATGTATATACATGTATATATACATGTATATATATATATGTATGTATATATATATATATATATATATATATATATATATATATATATATATATATATATGTATATATGTGTATATATATATATATATATATATATATATATATATATATATATATATATATATATATATATATATATATATATATATATATATATTAATGTTTCCCCAAGAGTAACTGTTGTTCAATAATCATGATAGGAACGACGGTAATGCCAATGAGGAAATAACTTTACCAACCCAGTTTCCATTTTACATGTACCAATACAAGGTGAGACATTTTAAAACACATACGAATTAACCCGAAGCTATACTGCACATCATAGAAATACGGAGGATATTCCGTCTATCAAATACTTAAACAAAAACATACTGTTTATATCAGATAATCCAACAGAAGATGTTGTATATCGAACAATTTATCAGAAGATATTTTCTACCCAATAGTTTTTACAAAATGTATTATACATTGAATAGTTCAAGTTGTATTTACAACATGCTTAAACTATTCGCTTCACACTACTGATAGAAATTATCAAATTTTTAAAAGTAGAGTTTGGCAAAAGTGTTGCAAACAAATGTATACCGCTTACCTTGAAGAAATGATACTTGCATTATATTTGAGCAAATAAAAAATAAAACCTTGTTTTATAGAATCATAAGTTCATACTGATTCTAATTAAGATTATTACACGTGGTTAATTTGTTGATTTTCTAGATATTTTCACATTAATTCTGTTATAATTTGGTTTTAAACAATCCCTATTGTAAATGTACCCAATGGTAAGTTTATTCTCCTTCTAAATGTGTAAAATTAAACCGCTGATAGCATTCAACTCACGGCCTGTCAACGGTAGAAAGAATAGTTTTACTGTCACAACACTATCCTAATGACACCATCTATATTAAACCACCCCAATAACACCATCTCACTTATAACATCTAACTTTCACCAGCTTACTAATATTCCCCATGATACCATGTAACGAAAACCAACCCAAATACATCAACTTATTTATAGCACCACACAAAAACCACCACACAAGTACCATCTAACATACACCAGACCACTGATATTTTGACGACTGACCACTGAAATTTTACGACTGACCACTGATATTTTACGACTGACCCACTGATATTTTACGACTGACCACTGATATTTTATGACTGACCACTGGTCTTTTACGACTGACCACTGATATTTTACGACTGACCAATGTTATTTTACGACTGACCACTGATATTTTACGACTGACCACTGATATTTTAAGACTGACCACTGATATTTTACGACTGACCACTGATATTTTACTACTGACCACTGGTATTTTACGACTGACTGGTATTTTACGACTAACCACTGATATTTTACGACTGACCACTGATATTTTAAGACTGACCACTGATATTTTACGACTGACCACTGATATTTTACTACTGACCACTGGTATTTTACGACTGACTGGTATTTTACGACTAACCACTGATATTTTACGACTGACCACTAATATTTTACGACTGATACCATCAATTTGGATCCACCCCCAACGACACCATCCCGCCATCCCAACATCACGCTAATTCCAGAATATCCCCATCCATTGTGATACCATCTTACTCACCCCATCCCATCAACCAATGTCTCACCACGGCTACGAAACCTCTACCATCTATCAATTTACCTTCCATATCTCGCAGAAGGCAAGCTGTCAGCGTGTGAAGGATATGAAAGCTGAGGTCGACGACATCCACTACCAAGTCAGCCATAACGGGAAGGATAAGGCAACAGGCGAAGTACCCCGACACACGCTTAACGGTGTTCACCTGTGGGTGAGTGGAAGTTACGCTGTTGTGCTTGTGTGAGTGCTGGTAGTCGTGTATGCTGAGGCTTATACTATTAAACAGAGAAGTTTTCAGCAGTGGCGTAGCGAGGGGGGATGGGGGTGCGAGGCGCACCGGGTGACACCATTTAGGGGGGGGGGGGGTGACACCAAGGCAAAAAATAGCAAAATATATAGAGAAAAATGATGATTCCACTTAATTAAGTGATTAATTCGAGTGTTAAATAGTCTTTTAAGTAGTGCAAATCGAAAGTTTGGGTGCAAATCGACTGTTTGAGGGGGGGGGGGAGGGGGGTGCAAATCGAAAGTTTGAGGGTGGGGGATGCAAATCGAAAGTTTGAGGGGGTGCAAATCGATAATTGAAAGTTTCTCCCCGGGAAGGGTCGCTACGCTTCTGGGGGGTGACACCATTAAGTGCCGCACCGGGTGACACCCGACCTCGCTACGCCACTGGTCTCGAGGTCTAACCCCCAGGTAAATAAGGCTAGACGCAAAACTATCCAAGAGAGAAAACTCCAAAATAAATAAAAAAACATCCAAAAAGAAAAGCGGGAAGAAGTCGAAGTCAATGCACTACATGGCGCTTAAAAAGTTGACACGGAATACTTAATTGTGTTGGAGGAAATATCATCAAACATTACAATTATTTTGACCGCCGTGTATTTGTATTGGAAGAAATCTAGCAGACGACACATTTCAGCTTTAATGGCTGTGAGCGGTCCATCGCGACAGAGGCGTAGCGACCCTTCCCGGCGCCCGGGGACAAACTCTTCGATTTGCACCCCCTCAACCTTTCAATTTATTTTTCCAACCCATTTTGGCGCCCCCTAATGTCGCTACTGATCGCGTCACAACACTCCTTAAAAACTAAACCTCGGTATCATTGAGTTTCAGTCATAGCCATTTAAAAACAAACGCCTTTTTTACACAAATATTTTTATTAGGCTACCGATTAAATTTAATAAATAAAATTGGTATCAAATTAAAGGTAAGTAAATGTAGTTTTTACTTGTTTAAGTAATATTGAACAATAATGAAGTTTAAAATCTTAGGCGACACCCTAATCGGAGCTAAGTGTATCTAATGGAGAACTACGAATATGACCGCTATATATCTAAATAAGTAGTCTCTGAGTTTTTATGGATTTCAAATCTACTTTTTTACGTCCTCTTGTTTAACATATGATATATATATATATATATATATATATATATATATATATATATATATATATATACATACATATATATATATATATGTATATATATATGTATATATATATACATATATATGTATATATATATATATATATATATATATATATATATATATATATATATATATATATATATATATATATATATACATATATATACACTAAAAAAGAAAAAAGTGAGAGTACGAGAGTTAATAATGTTTCCCTTTATTTCAACAGCTATGCTACTACAGTTATACTGGACCAACCACCGATGCCGAGGAACCCCCAGCTACTACACACCAGAAGCCGCAAAAATTCAAACACCACAGCAAGCCAAAACATCCAAGCCAAAGCGACTCGAAAAGACCTATGATGCGAGCCGCATTCCTGGAACATATGCCAGAGATTCCGGTTGAAAATTATAACAAGACCAGTAATCTCCTAAACATAGACACTGCAAGTTTACAAAACAAAGAGGCTGAACATCCAAGCCAAAGCGACTCGAAAAGACCTATGATGCGAGCCGCATTCTCGGAACATATACAAGAGATTCCGGTTGAAAATGATAACAAGACCTAAACATAGACACTGCAAGTTTCCAAAATAAAGAGGCTGAACATCCACAAAACAAAGAGGCTGAACATCCACAAAACACAGGGGCCGAGAATACACAAAACACAGAGACTAAAAGTCCACATAACACAGTGGCCGAACAGACACAAAACAAAGAGGCTGAACATACACTAAACAAAGAGGCTGAACATACACTGAACAAAGAGGCTGAACATCCACAAAGCAAAGAGGCTGAACATACACAAAACAAAGAGGCTGAACATACACTGAACAAAGAGGCTGAACATCCACAAAGCAAAGAGGCTGAACATACACAAAACAAAGAGGCTGAACATACACAAAACAAAGAGGCTGAACATACACAAAACAAAGAGGCTGAACATACACAAAACAAAGAGGCTGAACATACACAAAACAAAGAGGCTGAACATACAGTGAACAAAGAGGCTGAACATACACCGAATACAGGGACCGAACTTCTACAAAACACAAGGACCGAACATACACAAACCACAGACGCCGAAAATACACAATACACAAGGGCCGAACATACGCAAAACACAAATACTCAAACTCTCAAAGTCTCAATGACTTCTGAATCCCGAGACACCAACGCCTTAAATCTACATCAAACCCAACCCCCAATTATTAATAACTAACAGACGAGTAACTCCCAATTAACGTTAAATCACAATACACTACTACGCCCCATAAGAGAGAGAAAAAATGTCTTCTAAGACACTAGTTCGACAGAAATGCGTATTGCGATTTAAGAAAATAATATTTTATTTCACGGAAATTGAATACAAATAAAAACAATAAAAACACAACGTATTAGATTTTTGTAATAGTTTGTGGCTAAAATTGTTGTAAAAAGAACGAAGCTTGAATGATATTTAGTTAACCACTGCACATAGTAAAGTGCTAGACTGCTAACCCATAAGTTGTAATCGGGTTTCAAGTCAGTAGAACATCCCTGAGTCCACCATGCTCTGATGTGTACCTAACTCACGATAGGGACAGTAAAGGCGGATGGGGATAATGCTGACCAAACTAAATCTGCATATACCAAGGTCACAGCTGAACTCTACTTCACTGGTCCCATAGACAGTCAGATTTGGCATGGTAACATTCCTTTTTTACTTTAGTTAACTACTGCACATAGACGAGTATCCCTAACATCACCGGCAGTAGTGAGGCCCATCCCTGCGAAAAGTTCTCCTGTACCTAACTGGCCGAGTCGGTAAAGATCATGATTGCTGAACCGAAAAGTGTCGAGTTCGAACCCTCAGGCAGATGAACCTGGTAGTTTGTTTTTGGTTGGACAAAGGCTATGGAAACAAATCCAAAAAGAAAAAGAGGCTGAAATCGGAGTTAATTGCCTCAATGGCGCATAACAAGTTAACACGTATACTTAATTGTGTTGGAGCTCTTCCAAGACTTAAATTAAGAAATAAGAAGAGAAAGAAGAACTAAGATCACAATTCCAACAACGATCAGGTGAACACAACACACACAAAACACAGCGACACAACATCTACTCTCATTAGCACGAGTATTTTGCGCAAGAAAATGTAGCATTAACTGCAGTAATTATCCAATGACCGATTTTATGTATTAGCAAATATAAGAAGCTGGTGTCACCCCCCAGAGGCGTAGCAACCCTTCCCGGGGACACATTTTTTATTTGCACCCTCCCCCCACCCCCTCAAACTTTCGATTTGCACCCCTCACCTTTAAAATTTCGTTTGCATCTCTTAAAGCACTATTTAACACTCGAATTAATCACTTAATTAAGTGAAATTATTATTTTTCTCTATATATTGTGCTATTTTTTGCCTTGGTGTCGCCCCCCTAAATGGTGTCACCCGGTGACAAAAAAAAATATTTTTAAGCTATTTATTAGCAGCTTTTATAACATTGTCGCTAAAAAAATTTAATTTCTGAACTTTCTAAATTAGGTTATTTGTTTTTTACAAGCTTTAATTCAACTTGCTTCCTCTGACGGTCGTCAGTCGTCATAGATCGAAACTCTCGAGCGAAATTCCAGGCACTTCTTACTGACAGATTCGTTTCAAAGTTGGCAATTGGGTCAAGATATGAAGACAATGCAATCTGACATTACATTTGACTTAATTGGATGCCTAAAATGAATTAACTAAAATGAATTTTTTTAATTTCATTTTTTAACGCCGCTTTAATGGTAAAATTGACAGCAAAATGTTATGTCCATTCAAACACCATGGACTAAACTTCCTTTCTACTCAACAACCTACGTAAACTTATTCTCACTTCAAGCACCGAGACGGAAACTAAAACCAAAGTGTTTCCCTACAGCAACACACTAATTTACACACCGGGTCTTCACTCACTATTTATATATCCACACCAACATTAATTCTAAAAAAACGCATACAAAACACACCTCTTAACAATGTGGTTGACGATTTTGTCAACATCATGGAGGAAAAGTAGTATAAACATAAAAATAAAAACTTGATATATATCAGATTTTTTTGTTTATACTACTTTTCCTCCATATATATATATATATATATATATATATATATATATATATATATATATATATATATATATATATATATATATATATATATATATATAAATATATATATATATATATATATATATATATAATATATATATATATATATATATATATATATATATATATATATATATATATATATATATATATATATATATATATATATACATATATACATATATATATATATATATCTGAGATATATATATATCTGAGATATGTAACCGTAAAAAATTGTGTTTTGTGTCTCATACACTGAATGATGTTATGAGTTTTAATTCCGTTAATGTTTTACAGTGAGGCAATAATCTTGAAAGTTATCGAGGCTAGTTTTTGATAGATATCAACACAAATTTACATTTATATTACGTTCATCTTGCAAGCCTTATTAAAAACACACAATTAAACACTATTTTCGTGCATTAAAAGTTTTTTTTTTTTATTATTGAAAATTAACTGTATTTGATTCGGTAAATTTTAGTCCTTTAATCATAGTCTCCGTGTCTTGATTTGTGTGCGTGTGTGTCTTCTGATCTTGGGTGAGCTTTCTGAAGGAATTAGAGGAAGAATTTCATAGAGACTTATTGGACTTCTGTGTGGTCCTCAATTTAGTGCGTTTTTTTTTTGAAAATGTATGCGTATATCTTGTGGGAACATTTAGCGTGAGGTTTGTAGTGGCGCGCATTGTTTTAGTCTTGTAGATTTTCGGCCTCTTTGTTATGGTGAATTGGAGGTCTAGTTATCTTTTTATCCGAAGTCTTTTTTGTGTGCTTGCCGCGTTTGGTCTTAGTAACTCGACGTTTCCTTGGCTTATATTTCTTTGTTTTCGATTTCTTTTCTTGGTGGCGTTTGGGTTTCTTTGTTTTTTGGGATTTTAGTGACCTCGGGATATGGACTTTAATCTTTTTAGGGTCATTGAAATGTCTTTGGCTCAAAATTAAGGGTAGTGGCGTTTTTAGTTCTTTAGTGTCCGCTACTTTCTTGGTAGATTCAGTCGGAGCCTGTGATGTCTTCTCTTGTATTGTTGGTTCAATGGTTGGTTCTGTAGTTGTTGTTTGTATGGTAGGTTTTTTAGTTTTTCTTTCCTTAATTTTTTGGCTTGGAGAGCTGGTGGTTAAATACTCAGGGCTTACAGTAGTTTCAGGGAAGTTTTCATTCTTCGATTCCTCCTCATAATTGTGTGGTCCAGTGCCGGTGTAGTAGCATAGCTGTGGAAATAAAGGACCAACTGTTATATATATATATTTATATTTATATACATATATATATATATATATATATATATATATATATATATATATATATATATATATATATATATATATATATATATATAAACATACATATATACACTTACATTTTTCATTTTGTTCTTATTTCCTTTTTTTTGGTTAAGTACAACAGGTTGTAATAAAATACACAAAACACATAAAACAAAACAAGAAGTGCATATAAGGCACCTACTCGAATAATTCCATCATCTTTCTCGTGCTTTGAGGCTGCACCGCGGGCGGAAGAGTCCGATTTAGGCGCCCTAACGTTGTGGGTGAGCTCTTCTATCGAGTAGTTGGCGCCCACGATCTCTTGACATACGCCAGACTGAAAAGAATATTATTTTTCTCATTATCTGAGACGAAAATCTTATTCTTACCTTTGAAGAAAAAGAAGCAGAAGTAGTTACAGTGTCCGAGGGACAACTTGGATGATTCACCCTACACGGAGTGGGGCCTATGATGGGGTGATGTCGTTGCATCCTTAGCTCTACAAGGGGTTCACAGGTTGATGATGAAGATGATAATGATAATGATGACGACGATGAAAATAATGATGACGATGACGATAATGATGACGACGATGAAAATAATGATGATGATGACGGTGATGATGATAATGATGATCATGAAATGTGGATGATGATGATGATGGTGGTAATGATGACGATAATGATGACGACGATGAAAATAAGGATGATGATGACGGTGATGATGATAATGATGATCATGAAATGTGGATGATGAAGATGATGGTAATGATGACGATAATGATGACGACGATGAAAATAATGATGATGATGATGATGATGATGATGATGATGATGATGATCATGAAATGTGGATGATGATGATGATGGTAATGATGACGATAATGATGACGACGATAAAAATAATAATGATGATGATGATGATGATGATGATGATGATCATGAAATGTGGATGATGATGATGATGAGGATAATGCTGAGGATGATGATGATGATGAGTATGTTGATGATAATGATAATGAGTATCAATTGTGCACGGAAACGCGTCAATTGTACAATGGTACAATGCACTCTAAATTACATTACTAATGGTGAATACATTGGAAGAAAATATTCCCAACCGCCGTCTTTGTCATAAGAACAAGACTGCAGTCTATAAACATGGATATCAAAACCTGTATGTGGGGATAAATCTGGTACGCCGTGAGAAGAGAAGTTAAAAACATGTCCAGATGTTTAGACTCTGAACACAGCGTGAACCCCAAGACAAAGATCCCGAGAACAGCAACTCATCCACCCACAACTCCCGCCTCTTGGAGAATACTTTCCAAACAACTATACTCAATCCTCTCTAACCCCCCTACCTACACCGCTATTCTCCAAACCACTCAAAGATTGACCCTCCCCCCCCACTTCCCCATGGTGTTACCACACATAAACTCAACAGAAAACTGCTAGACAAAACTAAAGCCACCCTTCCCCTCATACCCAAATACAATACGCGTTTCCTAGTGCGAGTGTATGTGTGTGAGTGTGAGTGTGTGTGTGAGTGTGTGTGTCAAAGATTGACCCCCCCCCCACTCCCCCATGGTGTTAACAAGCATAAACTCAACAGAAAACCGCTAGACAAAATTAAAGCCACCCCCCACCCTCATACCCAAATACAATACGCGTTCCCTAGTGTGAGTGTAAGTGTGAGTGTGAGTGTGCGTGTGAGTGTGAGTGTGAGTGTGAGTGTGAGTGTGAGTGTGAGTGTGAGTGTGAGTGTGAGTGTGTGTGTGAGTGTGAGTGTAAGTGTAAGTGTTAGTGTGTGTGTGAGTGTGAGTGTGAGTGTGAGTGTGAGTGTGAGTGTAAGTGTGAGTGTGAGTGTGAGTGTTAGGGTGTGTGTGAGTGTGTGTGTATGAGTGTGAGTGTGTGTGTGAGTGTGTGAGTGTGAGTGTGAGCGCTAGTGTGAGTGTTAGTGTGAGTGTGTGTGAGTGTGAGTGTGTGAGTGTGAGTGTGAGTGTGTGAGTGTGAGTGTGAGTGTGTGTGTGTGTGTGAGTGTGAGTGTGACACCAATTACGACCCGGCACCAGCTGTGTCTAGACTTGACCTGAACACAGACCACACAAACAACAGCGTCTACCTGTCCTTGGTACAGGTAGAACGGTGCTTGAGTTGGAAGGAGCACTGGGTTCTTCGCGGGGCCGTCGTTTCTGGAATTGTTACGTAACAAATCAAAACACCTATTGACGTCTTATTAAAGTAATTAAAACTGGCATACACAATTTTCTTGAAGAGGGGGGAGGCGGGGGGTGCGGATCGCACCGGGTGACACCATCTAGGGGGGGGGGGGTGACACCAAAGGCAAAAAATAGCAAAATATATAGAGAAAAACTTGAGAGGGGGGGTGCAAATAAAAAGTTTGAGGGAGGTGCAAATCGAAAGTTTGAGAGAGGGGGGGTGCGGGGTGCAAATCGAAAATTTGAAACTTTGTCCTCGGGGGGGGGGGGGGGTGACACTTTAAGTGCCGCACCGGGTGACACCCGACCTCGCTACACCACTGCCTGCAACCTACATTTAATAATAGAATAAATGTACCTTCTGCCATCTACCTTAAAGAATATACTAAGATGTACCTGCGACCTACCTTTAAGAATACACTAAATGTCATCATCATCATGTCATGTTTGCCTGTCGTCCCTACTGGGACATAGGCCGCTGACAAGAGCTTTCCAGACGTCTCTGTCCAGGGCTAGTCTCTCCAACTGTCCCCAGGTGTATCCAATCTTCTTGGTGTCTTCTTCCAGATCACGTCTCCAGGTCTTTCTTGGTCTGCCTCTCTTCCTCCTGCCTTGTGGATTCCAGGTGAGGGCCTGTCTTGTTATGCTGGATACAGGCTTCCTGAGTGTGTGGCCAATCCATTTCCATTTTCTCTGGAGGATCTCTACTTCCACTGGCAGTTGATTTGTCCGTTGCCATAGAACATCATTTCTGATTGTTTTAGGCCAGCGAATTCGCAGGATCTTTCTGAGACATGCGTTTATAAATGATTGTATTTTCTTCTTATTTATAGCAGTTATTCTCCATGTCTCGGCTCCATAGAGTAAAACAGGTTTTACTAGTGTGTTGAAGATCCTGATTTTTATTCTAAGGGTTAAATCTCCCGAACCCCAAACATTTTTTAGTTGGTTGAAGACTGCTCTTGCCTTACCCGTCCTGCCGCTATCTGCCTTTAAAAAAATACACTAAAACGTACCTCTCACCTTCCTTTTAGAATATGCTAAAATGTACCTTCAACATACCTGCAACAGAATCTAATAGTCAAGTACTCCCTCCCACGCGAGGCACTCTTCAACAGAGAAGTTTCGATTGCAGCTTTCAACATTATTGAGTCTGAAGCCGAATCCAGATGGCCAAAGACTATGTCGCTAATCTCAAAATCTGAAAGTTAAGCCATTAGGTTTAGATTACCGACAGTCTATATTCAAACTTGATGTTTCTGATGTTACCATCCGTTTTTTTCAAACTTGATTTTTCTGATGTTACCATCAATTTTATTCAAACTTGATGTTTCTGATGTTACCATTGATTTTATTCAAACTTGATGTTTCTGATGTTACCATCAATTCTATTCAAACTTGATGTCTCTGATGTTATCATCAATTTTATTCAAACTTGATGTTTCTGATGTTACCATCAATTTTATTCAAACTTGATGTTTCTGATGTTACCATCAATTTTATTCAAACTTGATGTTACTGATGTTACCATCAATTTTATTCAAACTCTACTTCATCTGCTCAGTGTATCGCTAACTTAATAAATAATGTAAAGTTTTATCTCCAAATTACATTAATAACACTAGATTATAAATTCTATTTTTACAGAATAATATTTAAAATGGCATTTATAAATTATTTTATTTGGTTTTAGTCAAATTTTCTCCGTTCTTCCCAATTCACAGAAAAAGAACCCTTAGAAAAACTAATCCCCACCCTCCTTTTTACCAGTGTTTCTTTCAGACTTTTTGCTCCGGGGGGGGGGGGGGGGCTTGAAATTTACTCTCAGGGGGTTGGTGCGATGTAAAATCTCCGGGGGATGGGGGCAGACACTGTTAAGAGTGTATCTTTTCTACATAAATTCCATTTCTTTTTGGGGTGGGGCGGTAGACTTTCTTCGGGGGTGTGGAGGGGGGGGGGGGCAGAGCCCCCCTTGAAGAGATGCCTGGAAGAAACTCTGCTTTTTATACACTTCTCCCCCTCCCCGCTGTATGAAAACCTACCAGTGGGGCACCTACTGCTCACTGTGTAAGGGTGTATGCAGTAATCTCCCTCTGGCCACGAGTAATGTCCCCCTGATTCGTGTCTACAGAAGGAATATTTCACGATGTTGGGACCGGATTGTTCTGAAACAAGAAGTGATATTTTACTAACGCTACTTAACATTGGATTATGTATTCACCTGTTTTTTTTTTAATTTAATTAAATTGAATTGAATTAAATTACATTTTCAAAACATATGCCGAGGTCTCTGAAGCAGAGAAACTCTACTTCATCTGCTCCATGTGTCTTGGGCACGAACGGGAAACGATGAAGATGATGAAAGTAAGCGACACATAAAAACATCCTTAATCATATCTAAACAGATCTAGTCTAGATACGCCCCACAAAAATGATAATCCCGCAAAAACAACAAAAAATTTATATAAATGAGGGAAAAAAATGTTGATTGAGACATGCTATTAATAATTTGCATGAAAAGGTCTGCATTTTGGTACCTTTAAACCTAACCCGAACACTAAAGCTGACCCTCACACCAACCCTTAGCCTTACCCTAATCCTAACCCTAACTCCAACCCAAAACCTTAGAGAAGAATAACGTGTTATGTTTATGGCATGCGTGTAAATATTCAAATATTCAAATAATGTCTAATTATCAGAAATAGTTCACAAGTAGCGGGGCCTAACTTTTCGCCAGTGTACGTATTGCAACAGTGGCGTGGCTTATCTGGACAAGAATCATTCAAACTACAGAAAAATCACAATGAGCAGGAAGGAAACAATAAATGTTTTTCGTTTAACCTGTCGAAATAACTCAAAATTTAGAGCCAATTAAAAAGTTGTGCGTGGCATAAACTTACCAAAGTGGTACGGTAATTTATTCTCGGTCCGTTTACCGCGAGCAAGTGTGAACTGCGACGTTTTCGTTGTCCACGGAATGGGCATATCTGCCGGGCATCCTGTGGTGGGTTTGGGCAGGGCATAATTCCCATTTGGCCAGTGTTCCAGGTACATATTGGCTGCAGAAGGTAAATGATGGTTAGGTATGTTATGGCTATGTCTTCGTTATAAGGTACCACGTAGGCAAGAGATGGATATGTATATTATGGCTATGTCTTCGTTATAAGGTATCACGTAGGCAAGAGATGGATATGTATATTATGCCTATGTCTTCGTTATAAGGTATCACGTAGGCAAGAGATGGATATGTATATTATGCCTATGTCTTCGTTATAAGGTACCACGTAGGCAAGAATTGGTTAGGTATGTTATGGGTATGTCTTCGTTATAAGGTACTACGTAGGCAAGAGATGTTTGGGGTATGTTATGGGTATGTCTTCGTTATAAGGTACTACGTAGGCAAGAGATGTTTGGGGTATGTTATGGGTATGTCTTCGTTATAAGGTATCACGTAGGCAAGAGATGTTTAGGTATGTTATGGGTATGTCTTCGTTATAAGGTACCACGTAGGCAAGAGATGGATATGTATATTATGGCTATGTCTTCGTTATAAGGTAGCACGTAGGCAAGAGATGTTTGGGGTATGTTATGGGTATGTCTTCGTTATAAGGTACTACGTAGGCAAGAGATGGTTGGGTATGTTATGGGTATGTCTTCGTTATAAGGTACCACGTAGGCAACAGCTGGTTAGGTATGTTATGGGTGTGTCTTCGTTATAAGGTACCACGTAGGCAACAGCTGGTTAGGTATGTTATGGGTGTGTCTTCGTTATAAGGTACCACGTAGGCAACAGCTGGTTAGGTATGTTATGGGTGTGTCTTCGTTATAAGGTACCACGTAGGCAAGAGTTGGTTAGGTATGTTATGGCTATGTCTTCGTTATAAGGTACCACGTAGGCAAGAGATGGATATGTATATTATGGCTATGTCTTCGTTATAAGGTACCACGAAAGGCAAGAGTTGGTTAGGTATGTTATGGGTTTGTCTTCGTTATAAGGTACCACGTAGGCAAGAGATGTTTGGGGTATGTTATGGGTGTGTCTTCGTTATAAGGTACCACGTAGGCAAAGCTTGAGACTCATAGCTCTTTTTTTAAGATCATCAAAAGATAATGTGAAAAGGTTGGGGTCGGTGTGGTCGGGCCGGTAAAGCTCATAGTTGCCAAATCGAAAAGACTCGAGTTCGAAACCCAGGAGCAGTCGATGCTAGATAGTTGAGAACAGTAACCCTTAAGGAGAGAAAACTCCAAAATCTGGTAATTTCTCTAATTGTCGTTCGTTTTTGGTTAGCTAATGTAGGCTGAAGCCTGAGTTACTGGATTCTATTACAAATAGATTTTTGACAAGTCTTCTTCTTCGTTCTTAATTTTAGTGTCTGAAGGGATCCCCCTCCAACACAATTAAGGATACGTGTCAACTGGTTATTCGCCATTGAGGCCATTGACTCCGATTTCAGCCTGCTTTTCTTTTTGAATTTGCTTCCATAGCCTTTGTCCAACCAAGAACAAACTACAAGGCAGCAGTTGTTTGATTTTGGAGTTGCCTCTCCTAGAAGTAATATTTTAATTTCGCTGGAAGACACTTGGCACATTATAATTACAACGCAGAACAAGAAAAACACAAGTAATCTGTTGTATATAGGGAAGGTTCTAGTGTTAAGGTTTGTTTCCGATTTCTTTCTGTATAACCGGATTAAAGGCAAGCTAGATTTGACCGACTACATGAGAAAACGCTGTTAAAATTTAAACTTACTTCGACTGTTCCATTCATTCAGGTATTTGGAGAAGGTCTGGACCCACTTGCTTGCATCAGAAATTGTTTGTCCAGTTTCTTTTACTTTTGAAACAAAATAAATAAAAAATTTACATATTTTAAAATTATCACTTGCTATAACAAATTACAGTGTCTATCAGATTTGATGTTGCTGACGTTTCTCAAAGAGGGAGATGGCGTTGGGTGTGAATACAATACAGACACATCACAATGTGTAACTTGTTTTCATTCAGGGTTTCAAAGCTGTTGGGGGTACGGATTGCTCGGGTGAGGGGGTAGAGAGATTCACTGCTGGTTTAAAAGTCTCGAGTTCAAACCCCGGTTTGAATCCGTAGGGAAAGTAAATGCAATTCAGGTATGGAACTGACTACATGTGAATTTTACAGAGGTAGGTAAAATCTACTGCACCTGCCTCATTTAACGCCATGTTCAACAGGGTTATAAAAAAATTGTTAGTCTATTTGAGGTGTGGCGGCTGAGAACTCAGACTAGCAACACAATGTGAAGGTTGAGTTAGACATAAGATGTAAAATGGCCAATGGCAGAGGGGGGACATTGGTAGACTATAGTATGGTTAATGTTAGAGTGGGGACATTGGTAGACTCTAGTGTGGTTAATGTTAGAGTGGGTTCACTGGTAGACTTTAGTATGGCCAATGGTAGAGTGGGTACATTGGTAGACTCTAGTATGGTTAATGTTAGAGTGGGTTCACTGGTAGACTTTAGTATGGCCAATGGTAGAGGGGGGACATTGGTAGACTAATATGGCCAATAGTAGAGTGGGTACATTAGTAGACTCTAGTATGGTTAATGTTAGAGTGGGGACATTGGTAGACTCTAGTATGGTTAATGTTAGAGTGGGGACATTGGTAGACTCTAGTAACGTTAATGTTAGAGTGGGTTCACTGGTAGACTCTAGTATGTTTAATGTTAGAGTGGGTTCACTGGTAGACTCTAGTATGTTTAATGTTAGAGTGGGTTCACTGGTAGACTCTAGTATGTTTAATGTTAGAGTGGGTTCACTGGTAGACTCTAGTATGTTTAATGTTAGAGTGGGTTCACTGGTAGACTCTAGTATGGTTAATGTTAGAGTGGGGACATTGGTAGACTCTAATATGTTTAATGTTAGAGTGGGTTCACTGGTAGACTTTAGTGTTGTTAATGGTAGAGTGGGTACATTGGTAGACTCTAATATGGCCAATGGTAGAGTGGGTACATTGGTAGACTCTAGTATGGTTAATGTTAGAGTGGGGACATTGGTAGACTCTAGTATGGTTAATGTTAGAGTGGGGACATTGGTAGACTCTAGTATGGTTAATGTTAGAGTGGGGACATTGGTAGACTCTAGTAACGTTAATGTTAGAGTGGGTTCACTGGTAGACTCTAGTATGTTTAATGTTAGAGTAGGTTCACTGGTAGACTCTAGTATGTTTAATGTTAGAGTGGGTTCACTGGTAGACTCTAGTATGTTTAATGTTAGAGTGGGTTCACTGGTAGACTCTAGTATGTTTAATTTTAGAGTGGGTTCACTGGTAGACTCTAGTATGGTTAATGTTAGAGTGGGGACATTGGTAGACTCTAGTAACGTTAATGTTAGAGTGGGTTCACTGGTAGACTCTAGTAAGGTTAATGTTAGAGTGGGTTAACTGGTAGACTCTAGTAAGGTTAATGTTAGAGTGGGTTAACTGGTAGACTCTAGTAAGGTTAATGTTAGAGTGGGTTCACTGATAGACTAGTATGGTTAATGTTAGAGTGGGTTCACTAGTAGACTCTAGTATGGTTAATGTTAGAGTGGGTTAACTGGTAGACTCTAGTAAGGTTAATGTTAGAGTGGGTTCACTGATAGACTAGTATGGTTAATGTTAGAGTGGGTTCACTAGTAGACTCTAGTAAGGTTAATGTTAGAGTGGGTTAACTGGTAGACTCTTGTAAGGTTAATGTTAGAGTGGGTTCACTGATAGACTAGTATGGTTAATGTTAGAGTGGGTTCACTGATAGACTAGTATGGTTAATGTTAGAGTGGGTTCACTAGTAGACTCTAGTATGGTTAATGTTAGAGTGGGTTCGCTGTGGTATAGTGGGTACATTGGTAGACTCTAATATGGCCAATGGTAGAGTGGATTCATTGGTAGAGTAGTATGGCCAATGGTAGAGTGGGTACATTGGTAGAGTAGTATGGCGAATGTTAGAGTGGGTACATTGGTAGAGTAGTATGGCCAATGGTAGAGTGGGTACATTGGTAGATTAGTATGGCCAATGTTAGAGTGGGTACATTGGTAGAGTAGTATGGCCAATGGTAGAGTGGGTACATTGGTAGAGTAGTATGGCCAATGTTAGAGTGGGTACAATGGTAGACTCTATTATGGCTAATAATAGAGTGGGTACACTGGTAGACTCTAGTATGGCCAATGGTAGAGTGGGTACATTGGGTGACTCAAGATTTGAATAAAGTATGTTTACACACAAATGTTTAGTTAAATTGAGTATCTATTCGTTTAAGATCTATGATTTCATTAAGCAGTGTTTACAAACGAAAAGTTTGTGTCAAAAGCTCGATAAATCCTGTTTACTTACAAATTCTTTTGTCATGCTTGAGCGATTCCATCACAGCTTCAATTGACACATCTGAAATAATTAATAAAATAATTTAAGTACAAGTGAATAGGTGGAGTGGTTCATTCTGAACAGTTATTGTGTCAATGCTTCTGTTAATGATTGTATTTAAGACTATGTGGATGATTGTGATGATGGTTGTGATTATGTACATACATGGAAATTTATTCCGATGATTCTATCATGTCTACTGATTTTTCCTAAACTAGTTTAGATGCATTTATGAAATCTTCGTTGAGTACCCATTTTAGTTTCAGCGAAGTTTTGAAAACTGCGCTGAACACACTTTTAAGTTCAGAGTAGTTTTGAAATATCCGCTGAATACACATTTTAATTTAAGTGCAGTTATGAAATATGCACAAAGTACCCATCTCACTGAAGTGCATTTATGAAACTACCTTACAAGCCCGTTAACGCCCCCCTCCCCTCCCACTCTACGAAATAAATAAAAAATATTTATATTGATGAATATATATAGATAATATAATATATAGATAATATATATAGGTAATATATTGATAATATATATAGGTAATATATAGATGATATATACTTTAACCTAAGTCCTCACTCTCTAAGAAATGTTAAGTACCCCTCCCTCCCAGTGGCGTAGGCAGGGGGGGGGGGGGTTAGGGGGAGGGTCATAACCCCCCCCCCATAGACCCCTCGGTATATATATATATATATATATATATATATATATATATATATATATATATATATATATATATATATATATATATATATATATATATATATATAAGTATGAAGGGGGTGCAAATCGAAAGTTTGAGGGGGGGGGGGTGCAAATCGAAAGTTTGAGGGGGGGGGTGCAAATCGAAAGTTTGTCCCCGGGTAAAAATTGGAAACCCCCCCCCTTGAGACGATCCTGGCTACGTCACTGCTCCCTCCCATGTTTCAAATGTTATCCCACCCCCCCCCCCCCCCACCCCCCTATGTACTCCTCTAACCTGTGGCATTGATCATGGCGTAGGGCGTGAAATCCTCTAACCAGTTGGCCTCGTAGTAGTTGTCGTAACCGGTCACCAGACAACGCATGTTTCCTTCCGTCTCGTCTTCGGCCGTCTGGTAGGTCATCTTCAGCCAGGCCGTAAGGTCCTGGGGACGGTGAGGTCATGAGGTCAGTAACGATGGTGATGTTAGATGATGGCATGAGTATTTAGGCTTAAACACTATAGTACGGAGACATTAAGACTAAGAAAAGTGCATAGACCTAAGGGCTAGCTAAAGTACATAGACCTTAAGACCAACAAAAGTACATAGACCCAAAGGCTAACTTAAGTACATAGACCTCGATTATATAGACCTTAAGACCAACAAACGTGCATAGACCTAATGGCTAACTAAAGTACATAAACCTTAAGTAAATAGAACTAAGGACCAACTAAAATACATAGACCCTAACTTAAGTATATAGACCTTAATTACATAGACCTTAAGACCAACAAAAGTACATAGACACAAGGGCTAACTTAAGTACATAGACCTTAATTACATAGACCTTAAGACCAACAAAAATACATAGACCTAAGGGCTAACTAAAGTAAATAGAATTTAAGTACATAGAATTAAGGACTAACTAAAGAACATAGACCTTAAGACCAAGAAAGTTACAGAGACGTAATGACTAACGAAAGTACAGAGACCTGTGTATCAACATCAGTGGAGAGGCCTTAACACCAAACAAAAGGTCATAGACTCAATGACATGTAGATCAACGTAAATACGTATACCTAATTACCAAACTAATACAGACAGCTGTGATACTATGACCTACGGCTAGATGATCTAACAATGGACTAAAGTGCGTAGATCTTATAACAACAAACATACATGAATCCAAATAACACAAATACTGTGAGATCTAGAAATGAACAGAGAATAAAATACCAACTTACGTTCAAATAACAAATAACTTACATAATTACAGAGACATAACATGCAAAATACGTAGACCTCATAACCAACAAAAGGACACAGACCTATCGACTTGACGATTCACACATTGTTTGTACAACAAACAAAATGAAAACAAACGATTTACCTAACAAACAATAACAGAAAACAGATCTATGACCTTTCGATCAACAAAAGGACCCATGTCTAACGAATAACAAAAGAACGAATATCCATATTGTAACAACCAACTAAATAACCTGGTAAAAAAATTAAGGTACAAAGACCTAAGGAATTACTGACCTAACCACCAGCATAATTAAGACAGCAACCACACTAAGGCTTAAGACCTAAAGACCTAAAGACCTAAAGACCTAAAGACCTAAAGACCTAAAGACCTAAAGACCTAAAGACCTAAAGACCTAAAGACCTAAAGACCTAAAGACCTAAAGACCTAAAGACCTAAAGACCTAAAGACCTAAAGACCTAAAGACCTAAAGACCTAAAGACCTAAAGACCTAAAGACCTAATGACCTAAATACTTAATGACCTAAATACTTAATGACCTAAATACATAATGACCTAATGACCTACAACAAACCCAGTAAAACGTTACCTTCTCAACTCTCCCTTCCACGACAACATTGTCCGTTTGACCTCTGATAGCCTGGGCGTGGTCGATACTTGCAAGTTTTTTTGGTGGTCCATTTTCTGTTGATGGTTTGTTTTTATTTAATAATCGAATACAACCAGCTGGTTCCAGTTTCTATAAATTTAGGGGCGGAACTATCCTACCTCAGGGGGGGGGGGGGACCAGGCCGTAGAGGGGGCCGGAAATCGGACTAAAATATATATTTTTTTCTTCTTGAACACTGATAGTGGTTTTGTGAAAAAAACAAAAAAAAAAACAAACAAATCTATTACAGCAGGGAATGTTCTACAGTACAATTTTAGAAAAACTTGCATGAGCTGTAGTGTGAAAGATAGGACGTAAACGTCAAACTACATTCATGACTGTTTGCTCTTCTTTAATTTAAATAAAGGTGCCCATTAAGCTCATTAAAATAGTTGTGTACTAAGCAAATAAAAAAGCTATTGCTTCCTCAATTATTATTTGAATAAGACATAATAAATAACGAAGTAGCTATTAAAAGGATTGTATTCAAAATCAATAATATAAATTAAGAAAAACAACGATATAATAATAAAACGAACACGGGAAACTACAATATCGAAATTCCGTATTTCATATTCTTTTGAATGGCTTGCCAGTTATGACGATATGCATTTCACGGGTCTCTGGTGCATAAAATGAAATAAAACATTTAAAAACTCCATACTAAAGCGAACAAGGCGAGGTAAACTGAAACTGTAAATTATATGTCTTAGGCACACACCGTTTTTGTTTTTAAATTAATTTTATCACTTCACATCCAAAATGAGTTTAAGCCTATTTCTAAATTGCTTGTTGTCTCATGATAAATATACACATACAAAGCAAAGAAATAGTTTCAATTACTAAATTAGAAAAATCTAGTGAGACAATCTGCTAATTTCTTTTCAAATTCCGCTCCTGTTTAATTTTTTTAATAATAAAAATTCAAATACTCGAAATTTCGGGTTCATTTAGATATATCAGATATTTAAGAAAATTGAAGATAATTTATATAATCGACAACAAATCATATTACGGATTACGTAAATAACAAACTTTCTCAAATCAAAATTTAAAAGACTTCAAAAGAAACGCTTGATTATAAAAAATAATAAAAAATGTTAGTAACTTAAAATAAGTTTTAAATTGATTTGAACTCATCTACTCACCATTTTCGCGTTCGATTATCAATTTATCCAGCTGAAAAAAAAATAATTAAAAAAAATAATTAGATGGTTTGGATATCTCCCTAAATATAAATGTATACTATTGTAATTTACACTGTCTGTTGAGTTCTTATTCTTCGTCATTTATTACAATATTAGGGGGGGGGGGGTAAATGAGCTTTACGGGTACACCGAACCCGGGTTAAAGTCAGTAGATCGTCCCTGAGTCCACCCAACTGTGATGGGTACTTAACTCACTTTAGGGAAAGTAAAGGCGGCTGTGCATAGTGCTGACCACATTATCCTTTCATATGCCGATGTCACAGAAACAGGTGAACTCTACTTCACTTGCCCCGTAGACCGTCAGGTTTGACAGGGAATTTTACTTTTTACTTACGGCTACCCCTTAGTAGAGAAGAGCGACAAGTTATGAATGTTGTTTGATGTTGCCGATTGTTCACACCACAGCTCATGTAGATTTTTTTTTTAATGTGAAAATAACAGCGTTTTAGTTACTGTAGCCCGAAAGTCTCGAGTTCGAATCCGGGTTCAAATCCTGAGTTCGAATGTCCCTGAGTCCACCCAGTTCTGATGGGTACTTAACTCACATTAGGGTAAGTAAAGGCGGTCACACTATCCATTCATATGCCGAGGTCAAGAAACAAATGAACTGTGTTTCATCTGGCCAAATTGATCGCTAGGTCTAAAGAGCATCTTTATTTTTTAATATTAGAAAATAATGTAGTAAGACAAAATTAGCACTGTTGTAATAATGTTAAGACACAAAACTACATTGGCATTAGTGTTAGTTCCCTGAAGACAATGAAACTAGTGTATTAAGACACAAACAAAACTGTGGTCAAGTCGTTGAGACAAATCAGCCAAGGTAGCTAGGGTGTTAAGACACAAAAAAACTCCTGGTAAAGACTTTAAGACATTACATATAACAATGGTGTTAAGACACAAAAAATACTGGCAATGGTGTTGAGACGCACAAAAGACACCAGTAATGGTGTTAAGACACAAAGACACGGGAGATGTTCTTAAGACACAAAAACTGGCTATGGTGTTAAAACACACAAAGGACACTGGTAATGGTGTTAAGACACAAAGACACTGGCGATGATGTTAAGACACAAAGACACTGGCGATGATGTTAAGACACAAAGACACTGGCGATGATGTTAAGACACAAAGACACTGGCAATAATGATAAGACACACATATTCTAGCAATGATGAAAAGACACAAAGGCACTTTCAATGATGATAAGACACAAAGACACTTTCAATGAAGATAAGACACTTAAGACACTTGCAATGATGTTAAGACACTTAAGACACTTACAGCCGTCCAGCCCATTTTCTCCAGCTCAGTGGCGTTGGTCGTACATTTGATAGAGACTTCCTCAGACAAGTCAACGACAACCTTCTCATGTGACAGTTCGATATAGACAGCTGGCACTAAAGATAAAAGTCTTTTCGTTAACCTTAGGATTCGTCTGTTTAAGTCTTGTTAGTATGTTACATCTGTGTAAGCCTGTGTAAGTATTTGTAAGTCTGTGTAAGTCTGTGTAAGTCTAAGTAAGTCTGTGTAAGTTTGTGTAAGTCTGTGTAAGTCTGTGTAAGTCTAAGTAAGTCTGTGTAAGTCTGTGTAAGTCTGTGTACGCCTTTGTAAGTATGTGTAAGTATGTGTAAGTCTGTATAAGTCTGTTTAAGTCTGTGTAAGCCTGTGTAAGTCTGTGCAAGTCTGTGCAAGTCTTGTAAGTATGTGAAAGAATGTGTAAGTCTGTGCAAGTCTGTGCAAGTCTTGTCTGTGTAAGTCTGTGTAAGGCTGTGTAAGTCTGTGAAAGTCTGTGCAAGTCTTGTAAGTCTGTGTAAGTCTGTGTAAGTCTGTGTAATTCTGAATAAGTCTTGTAAGTCTGTGTAAGTCTGTGAAAGTCTGTGTTAAGTCTTGTAAGTCTGTGTAAGTCTTGTAAGTCTGTATAAGTCTGTGTGTAAGTCTGTGAAAGTCCGTGTTATGTCTTGTAAGTCTGTGTAAGTCTCTGAATGTCTGTGAAAGTCTATATTCTGTTTATATTCTATTTAGATCAATTAATAAAGACATGAAAATCTATTTACTTATTTCTGTATGTATATCTAAATAAAATTATATCGACATTTTAGTAAGGCTATATAAGTGTATACTTAGGCTATGTAAGGATATACTCAAGATTAGGATCAATAATAAAAACCACGGCTGACTATACGGGAGCGATGCCACAAAAGTTAGACCAAGAATGGTTATTTCCAAGCAAAATCTAAACATTTGCAGATATACATTGTATATATATATATATAAATATATATATATATATATATATATATATATATATATATATATATATATATATATATATATATATATACATATAAAGCAAAGTGGTCGGGTGCCCGATAGGGCACTTCCCGGCGCCGCAGGCGCGTCAAATTTGGCACGATGGTGCCTTGGGGCGATAGAACACGAGGCCCGGTGACGGTTGGCCGAAAAGTCTACGGAGAGGGGGTCAAAACTGACCTCGACTGACCGGCGCCTTATATGGGCTATATTAAGAAAAAAAATTCCTCCGACGACCCCCCTTGAAATTTTGTGAGGTGGTAGGAGAACCCCTTGGGGTGTCACAAAAAACTCGGCATATCTGGGAAACTTCGTAAAGAGGTCAAAACTGACCAGTCGTATTTCCCTATATAATCTTTGTATTTTATGGGGAAAACAGAGGGTCATTTCAAAACGGATTTTAGGGCACTTACCTTCTTTCCATCTGGCTAAGTTTTGGCATGCTTATAGGTTTTCGGCGTGTTTATAGGTAAATGGCTTGGCCGTACGGCTGACCTGTCAGTTTCACTCAAAGCCCTCGACGAGGGCTAAAAAGTGACCGCGAGTGAAATTCTCTTTATATGAGCTCTATTACGAAAAAAAATTTCCGACGACCACCCCCCTTGAAATTTTGTGAGGTGGTAGGAGAACGCCTTGGGGTGTCACAAAAAACTCTCCATGTCCGGGAAAAATCGGGAAATGGGTCAAAACTGACCAGTCGTATTTCCCTATATAATCTTTGTATTTTATGGGAAAAACAGAGGGTCATTTCAAAACGGATTTTAGGGCACTTACCCTCTTTACATCTCGCTAATTTTCGGCATGTTTATAGGTAAATGGCTTGGCCGTACGGCTGACCTGTCAGTTTCACTCAAAGCCCTCGACGAGGGCTAAAAAGTGACCGCGAGTGAAATTATCTTTATATGAGCTCTATTACGAAAAAAAATTTCCTCCGACGACCCCCCTTGATATTTTGCGAGGTGGTAGGAGAACGCCTTGGGGTGTCACAAAAAACTCGGCATATCTGGGAAAACTTCGTAAAGCGGTCAAAACTGACCAGTCGTATTTCCCTATATAATCTTTGTATTTTATGGGAAAAACAGGGTCATTTCAACGCAGACTTTAGGGTACTTAAACTCAGTATATCTGGCTAATTTTTTGCATACTCTTAGGTAAATGGCTTGACCTTTAGGGAAAACTGTCGGTTTCACTCAAAGCCCTCGACGAGGGCTAAAAAGTGACCGCGAGTGAAATTCTCTTTATATGAGCTCTATTACGAACAAAAATTTCCTCCGACGACCCCCCTTGATATTTTGTGAGGTGGTAGGAGAAAGCCTTTGGGTGTCACAAAAACTCGGCATATCTGGGAAAACTTCGTAAAGGGGTCAAAACTGACCAGTTGTATTTCCCTATATAATCTTTGTATTTTATGGGAAAAACAGGGTAATTTCAACACAATTTTTACGTTACTTAACCTCTGTACATCATGCTAATGTTTTACATACACTTCTATAGATGACTAGGCCGTATGGAAAAACTGTTGATCCGACTCAAAGCCCTCGACCAGTGCTAAAAGATGACCGCGAGTGAAATTCTCCTTATATGAGATATATATAAATAAATTGATCCCCTTAATATTATTTGAGGTCGTAGACCGACCCTGGAGGGTAACAAAAAAACTTTATTCCCGTCGGAAAAAGCCATTGTAGACGTTAAATATGTTTATATATCGTATTTTCTTATATAAGCATAGTAACTGTTTAAAAAAAAAGTAAACACAGACATACGTCATTCGGTTAATTTTCAAGGGAGGTAAGCTTTTTAAATAATTATTTTTCAAATAATTGTATACTATTTTGAACAGAAACAGAAAACGACAAAGTATAGCATTTGTTTTAAAAAAATGTACGTTGTTAATTAAGCTACGTATTATAATTAAATAAAAAATTAATTTTAAAAGTCAATGTAATATAAATTGTGAGATATACTGTTCATGGAAACTCTGTAGTTCTATTTCCATTTTAGTTATAAATTGCGTACTTTCGAATGCTTTCTCTGAAAGCGGATATTAAACAACATACAACATCTTCTCTAAAATAAGCATTACTGTTTAGATTTAAGAACTCCACGCCTCATCCATCACCAAATAATTAGTATTCTTTTTATCAAATGTTTTTGAAAACCTAAGCGAAGCTAGGTAGAATGCCTAGTATCTATATATATAAAGCAAAGTGGTCAAGTGCCCGATAGGGCACTTCCCGGCGCCGCAGGCGCGTCAAATTTGGCACTATGGTGCCTTCGGGCAATAGAACACGAAGGCCGGTGACGGTTGGCCGAAAAGTCTACGGAGAAGGGGTCAAAACTGACCTCGACTGACCGGCGCCTTATATGGGCTATATTACGAAAAAAAAATTCCTCCGACGACCCCCCTTGATATTTTGTGAGGTTGTAGAAGAACACCTAGGGGTGTCACAAAAAACTCGGCATATCTGGGAAAACTTCGTAAAGCGGTCAAAACTGACCAGTTGTATTTCCCTATATAATCTTTGTATTTTATGGGAAAAACAGAGGGTCATTTCAACGCAGACTTTAGGGTACTTAAGCTCAGTATATCTGGCTAATTTTTTGCATGCTCCTAGGTCAATGGCTTGACCTTTAGGGAAAACTGTCGGTTACACTCAAAGCCCTCGACGAGGGCTAAAAAGTGACCGCGAGTGAAATTCTCTTTATATGAGCTCTATTACGAAAAAAAATTTCCTCCGACGACCCCCCTTGATATTTTGTGAGGTGGTAGAAGAACACCTAGGGGTGTCACAAAAAACTCGGCATATCTGGGAAAACTTCGTAAAGCGGTCAAAACTGACCAGTTGTATTTCCCTATATAATCTTTGTATTTTATGGGAAAAACAGTGGGTCATTTCAACGCAGACTTTAGGGTACTTAAGCTCAGTATATCTGGCTAATTTTTTGCATGCTCCTAGGTCAATGGCTTGGCCGTAGGGCAGACCTGTCGGTCTTACTCAAAGCCCTCGACGAGGGCTAAACAGTGACCGCGAGTGAAATTCTCTTTATATGAGCTCTATTACGAAAAAAAATTTCCTCCGACGACCCCCCTTGATATTTTGTGAGGTGGTAGAAGAACACCTAGGGGTGTCACAAAAAACTCGGCATATCTGGGAAAACTTCGTAAAGCGGTCAAAACTGACCAGTTGTATTTCCCTATATAATCTTTGTATTTTATGGGAAAAACAGAGGGTCATTTCAACGCAGACTTTAGGGTACTTAAGCTCAGTATATCTGGCTAATTTTTTGCATGCTCCTAGGTCAATGGCTTGACCTTTAGGAAAAACTGTCGGTTACACTCAAAGCCCTCGACGAGGGCTAAAAAGTGACCGCGAGTGAAATTCTCTTTATATGAGCTCTATTACGAAAAAAAATTTCCTCCGACGACCCCCCTTGATATTTTGTGAGAACACCTAGGGGTGTCACAAAAAACTCGGCATATCTGGGAAAACTTCGTAAAGCGGTCAAAACCGACCAGTTGTATTTCCCTATATAATCTTTGTATTTTATGGGAAAAACAGAGGGTCATTTCAACGCAGACTTTAGGGTACTTAAGCTCAGTATATCTGGCTAATTTTTTGCATGCTCCTAGGTCAATGGCTTGACCTTTAGGAAAAACTGTTGGTTACACTCAAAGCCCTCGACGAGGGCTAAAAAGTGACCGCGAGTGAAATTCTCTTTATATGAGCTCTATTACGAAAAAAATTTCCTCCGACGACCCCCCTTGATATTTTGTGAGGTGGTAGGAGAACGCCTTAGGGTGTCACAAAAAACTCGGCATATCTGGGAAAACTTCGTAAAGGGGTCAAAACTGACCAGTTGTATTTCCCTATATAATCTTTGTATTTTATGGGAAAAACAGTGGGTCATTTCAACGCAGACTTTAGGGTACTTAAGCTCAGTATATCTGGCTAATTTTTTGCATGCTCCTAGGTCAATGGCATGACCTTTAGGGAAAACTGTCGGTTACACTCAAAGCCCTCGACGAGGGCTAAAAAGTGACCGCGAGTGAAATTCTCTTTATATGAGCTCTATTACGAAAAAAAATTTCCTCCGACGACCCCCCTTGATATTTTGTGAGGTGGTAGAAGAACACCTAGGGGTTTCATAAAAAACTCGGCAATTCTGGGAAAACTTCGTAAAGCGGTCAAAACTGACCAGTTGTATTTCCCTATATAATCTTTGTATTTTATGGGAAAAACAGGGAAATTTGAACACAATTTTTAGGTTACTTAATGTCTGTACATCATGCTAAGTTTTTGCATACACTACTATAGATGACTAGGCCGTATGGAAAAACTGTTGGTCAGACTCAAAGCCCTCGACGAGGGCTAAAAGATGATCTTGAGTGAAATTCTCCTTATATGAGATATATATATCTATAAATATAAATAAATTGACGAACGATCCCCTTAATCTTATGTGACGTCAAATTTGGCACGATGGTGCCTTCGGGCAATAGAACACGAAGGCCGGTGACGGTTGGCCGAAAAGTCTACGGAGAAGGGGTCAAAACTGACCTCGACTGACCGGCGCCTTATATGGGCTATATTACGAAAAAAAATTTCCTCCGACGACCCCCCTTGAAATTTTGTGAGGTGGTAGGAGAACACCTTGGGGTGTCACAAAAAACTCGCCATGTCCGGGAAAAATCGGGAAATGGGTCAAAACTGACCAGTCGTATTTCCCTATATAATCTTTGTATTTTATGGGAAAAACAGAGGGTCATTTCAAAACGGATTTTAGGGCCTTTACCCTGTTTACATCTGGCTAATTTTTGACATGTTTATAGGTAAATGGCTTGACCGTAGGGCTGACCTGTCGGTCTTACTCAAAGCCCTCGACGAGGGCTAAAAAGTGACCGCGAGTGAAATTCTCTTTATATGAGCTCTATTACGAAAAAAAATTTCCTCCGACGACCCCCCTTGATATTTTGTGAGGTGGTAGGAGAACGCCTTGGGGTGTCACAAAAAACTCGCCATGTCCGGGAAAAATCGGGAAATGGTTCAAAACTGACCAGTCGTATTTCCCTATATAATCTTTGTCTGGCTAAGTTTTGGCATGCTTATAGGTAAATGGCTTGGCCGTAGGGCGGACCTGTCGGTTTGACTCAAAGCACTCGACGAGGGCTAAAAAATGACCGCGAGTGAAATTCTCTTTATATGAGCTCTATTACGAAAAAAAATTTCCTCCGACGACCCCCCTTGAAATTTTGTGAGGTGGTAGGAGAACACCTTGGGGTGTCACAAAAAACTCGCCATGTCCGGGAAAAATCGGGAAATAGGTCAAAACTGACCAGTCGTATTTCCCTATATAATCTTTGTATTTTATGGGAAAAACAGAGGGTCATGTCAAAACGGATTTTAGGGCACTTACCCTGTTTACATCTGGCTAATTTTTGGCATGTTTATAGGTAAATGGCTTGGCCGTAGGGCAGACCTGTCGGTCTTACTCAAAGCCCTCGACGAGGGCTAAAAAGTGACCGCGAGTGAAATTCTCTTTATATGAGCTCTATTACGAAAAAAAATTTCCTCCGACGACCCCCCTTGATATTTTGTGAGGTGGTAGGAGAACGCCTTGGGGTGTCACAAAAAACTCGCCATGTCCGGGAAAAATCGGGAAATGGGTCAAAACTGACCAGTCGTATTTCCCTATATAATCTTTGTATTTTATGGGAAAAACGGAGGGTCATTTCAAAACGGATTTTAGGGCACTTACCCTCTTTACATCTGGCTAATTTTTGGCATGTTTATAGGAAAATGGCTTGACCGTAGGGCAGACCTGTCGGTCTCACTCAAAGCCCTCGACGAGGGCTAAAAAGTGACCGCGAGTGAAATTCTCTTTATATGAGCTCTATTACGAAAAAAATTTCCTCCGACGACCCCCCTTGATATTTTGTGAGGTGGTAGGAGAACGCCTTAGGGTGTCACAAAAAACTCGGCATATCTGGGAAAACTTCGTAAAGGGGTCAAAACTGACCAGTTGTATTTCCCTATATAATCTTTGTATTTTATGGGAAAAACAGTGGGTCATTTCAACGCAGACTTTAGGGTACTTAAGCTCAGTATATCTGGCTAATTTTTTGCATGCTCCTAGGTCAATGGCATGACCTTTAGGGAAAACTGTCGGTTACACTCAAAGCCCTCGACGAGGGCTAAAAAGTGACCGCGAGTGAAATTCTCTTTATATGAGCTCTATTACGAAAAAAAATTTCCTCCGACGACCCCCCTTGATATTTTGTGAGGTGGTAGAAGAACACCTAGGGGTTTCATAAAAAACTCGGCAATTCTGGGAAAACTTCGTAAAGCGGTCAAAACTGACCAGTTGTATTTCCCTATATAATCTTTGTATTTTATGGGAAAAACAGGGAAATTTGAACACAATTTTTAGGTTACTTAATGTCTGTACATCATGCTAAGTTTTTGCATACACTACTATAGATGACTAGGCCGTATGGAAAAACTGTTGGTCAGACTCAAAGCCCTCGACGAGGGCTAAAAGATGATCTTGAGTGAAATTCTCCTTATATGAGATATATATATCTATAAATATAAATAAATTGACGAACGATCCCCTTAATCTTATGTGACGTCAAATTTGGCACGATGGTGCCTTCGGGCAATAGAACACGAAGGCCGGTGACGGTTGGCCGAAAAGTCTACGGAGAAGGGGTCAAAACTGACCTCGACTGACCGGCGCCTTATATGGGCTATATTACGAAAAAAAATTTCCTCCGACGACCCCCCTTGAAATTTTGTGAGGTGGTAGGGGAACACCTTGGGGTGTCAAAAAAAACTCGCCATGTCCGGGAAAAATCGGGAAATGGGTCAAAACTGACCAGTCGTATTTCCCTATATAATCTTTGTATTTTATGGGAAAAACAAAGGGTCATTTCAAAACGGATTTTAAGGCACTTACCCTCTTAACATCTGGCTAATTTTTAGCATGCTTATAGGTAAATGGCTTTACCTTTAGGAAAAACTGTCGGTTTCACTCAAAGCCCTCGACGAGGGCTAAACAGTGACCGCGAGTGAAATTCTCTTTATATGTTCTCTATTACGAAAATTTTTTCCTCCGACGACCCCCCTTGAAATTTTGTGAGGAGGTAGAAGAACGCCTAGGGGTATCACAAAAAACTCGGCATATCTGGGAAAACTTCGTAAAGGGGTCAAAACTGACCAGTTGTATTTCCCTATATAATCTTTGTATTTTATGGGAAAATCAGAGGGTCATTTCAACGCAGGCTTTAGGGTACTTCAACTCAGTATATCTGGCTAATCTTTTGCATACTCTTAGGTAAATGGCTTGACCTTTAGGAAAAACTGTCGGTTTGACTCAAAGCCCTCGACGAGGGCTAAAAATTGACCGCGAGTGAAATTCTCTTTATATGAGCTCTATTACGAAAAATTTTTTCCTCCGACGACCCCCCTTGATATTTTGTGAGGTGGTAGGAGAACGCCTTGGGGTGTCACAAAAAACTCGCCATGTCCGGGAAAAATCGGGAAACGGGTCAAAACTGACCAGTCGTATTTCCCTATATAATCTTTGTATTTTATGGGGAAAACAGGGTAATTTCTACACAAATGTTAGGGTACTTACTCTTTGTATAACTTGCCAATTTTTTTGCATACACCTCTATAGATGACTGGGTCGTATGGAAAAACTGTTGGTCAGCATCAAAGCCCTCGAAGAGAGCTAAAAACGAATGCGAGTGAAATTCTCATTATACGAGATTTGGTCATTTTGTTTATGAACAGGGGAGGTAACTTTTTAATGTAACAATTTTTTTTTTATATTTTGTATACTCTTTTTAAGAAAAAACAAAAATCATAAAGTGGAGCATTGTTTTAAACGAATATTTTGTTATAAATTAAGTTTTGTATTGTATTGAAATTGTAAAATTAATTGCAAAAGTAAATATAATATTATATTTGATTAATAATTTTTATGAAAGCCCTTTCAGTTGTAATAACCTTGCGAGTAATAAGTTTGCGAATATTCCATCAATTTATGCGTCCAATAAAAGTACCCCACTGTATAAATTTAGGCCCTAAACATTTAACATAACAGCCAATCACCTATTAATTAATCATTCAATTTCTCATCTTTTTTGAAAACCTAAGCGAAGCTAGGCAGTATGCCTAGTATATATATATATATATATATATATATATATATATATATATATATATATATATATATATATATATATATATATATATATATATATATATATATATATATATATATATGTCTAAAGATACGTACATGTCTCCGTAGAAGCTGTTAAAAAAGAAAACAAAATATATTGTATTGGCGAAAATACATCAGAAAAACAACCCCACCTCTACTTAAGATATTAGACATGACAACAGAAGAATGCGCAAATTCAATCTAATACTAATACACTGTCATTTGGTTACATTTCGTGGAAATAATTTTTTATAATGCTACAAAGTAGCCTACATGTGGACATACGCATTTAAATATTTAAAAAAAAACTCTTTTACCCGCTTTTGTGCGCGGATTTTTCAGTTGCTCTGTTTTCCGTTAAATATTTTTGTTGATCACCATTTATTCAGTAAGAAAGATAGTAGGTTTAACTATCTTTCGAATGATTCGATTGCCAAGCTGTTCAAAGCTCATAAAATCGAAACTCTTGATTTCGTTTCTCGTGTTTAAATATTTGTCACTGAGTCAACCCAGCTCAAATGAGTACCTGGCTTGCGTAGGAAAATGTAAAAGCAAAGTGATTTTTCCATTATTTATTACGTTCGTTAATAGGAGAACTCTGGGAGGACTCATTGACGTCATTGTGGCTTAAAAACGGTATCAGAAATTCAAACCTAAAATTAAAGGAAATCATTTGATTGATCTACCGTCCAACCACGCCGTCCCTTTCTTGATTTTTATTATTATTATTATAATCATCATCATCATCGTTATCATTATCATCATCATACTAATCATCGTCATCAGCATCACCATCATCATTCTAGTAGAACCATTTTGAAACATAGGGACGCAACCACACCTCATCATCGTGCGCAGGTTTTGGACGATTCGTCCAAGTTGGGTCTATGACATTCCGGCTGCCTCTGCTTAACTGACAACATCTTTTCCAAGTTTTTGTTGGCCTACCTACATTCCTCTTTCCTTGGGGATTCCATTCTAATGCCTGTCTGGTGATGTTGCTAATTGGTTTACGCATGTTGTTTCTAATCCATCCCCAATTGCGCTTTTGTATTATGTTTTATTTCAGTTAACCTCTAGACAAACTTCTATTTTAAGACAGATGTGAACTCACCCTGACCGGGAGACATGAAGTTTACCAGTAGGAGCAGGACGTAGAGCATGTTTTACTGTCAACAAAAATACTGGAAATATAGGCTTCTGTATATATATATATATATATATATATACACATACAAAAAAGCGGGGGGGGGGGGGTTTGGGTTGTTGTCGTTGTACGACATCAGGCTTATTTACGTAGATGCAGGGATTTCTTTATGACATTTTTCTCTTGGGTAGGAGTGGGGGGGGGGGGGGGGGGGACTTAAACTTCCGGAGAAGGGATGAATGTACACTTTTTATGGGTGTTGGGGGGGGGGGGGGCAGGCACTGGACAGTGTAAGTATTTTCTTTTTTTAAGTTATATATTTTTCATTTTCGTCTTGTGGGCGTGGGAGAGGGGTCGGGGCGGATTTGTCTCAAGGATATTAAGGATCCACTTGTGGCAGTTGTGGTTAGGGTTATGACTAGGGTATAAGAAATGTATGTATGACTGTTACATTAGGGTAGTACTAAATTAAATTCCTTGTTTTTATGAATAATTTTAGTAGGTTAGGACTAAAGTTAATATCCCTATCTTCGTAAAAATAATTTATTGGATTATTCTGGTTATTATTGGTTAACCATACCCTTATAATCATACGTTCGTATAGACAGAAGTTATTAGAAATATTTCCGATCAAATCAATAGTTAGGGTTGTGATTTAGGTTTAGCTGCTAAAAAGGAAAATATGTACACGATAAATATAATTTAAAAATAACTTGCCTTTGTTGACTATTTGTTTTTGTTGTCCCACTTTCGTTTTATGATGTAAACACAAAAAGTATAATTAGACAAAGCAAAGCGGATGTTGATACTAGGGCACGTGACGTGGGTCTATCAAGTGTATGACCTCGTTATGACGCTAATTAGATTGTCTGTTGTTTTTTTTAAATATTTATTTTGTAATTTAATGACCAGCGATTGAATTAGATGGCGGTACCTTTTCACTTATGCAGCACTTGGGGTATTTATATAAAGGTAGATACGGCGTGGATTCCTAGACCTCAGTTACATACATACGAGCGTAGGGAATACAAATAAACGAACCGGCTAATCATCATCATCTTTTTCCTGTTGTGCCCAAGACACGCGCGGAAGGTGAAGTAGAGTGTATCTATTTCAATAACCTCGGCATACAGGGATATAGTGAGATCAGCACTTTACCCAGAAGCCTTAGTTTCTGTAATTGAGTCCGATGTACATCAGAGCTGGGTGGACTCAGGGACGTCATGTAGAGTCGAGTCCGGAATCTGAACTCGAAACTTTCGAGCTAGCTGTCGAATAAGCAATTTATTCCCTCAAGAAAACGTGACAGGATTAAAAAAAAAGATATAAAAATACTTAAGTAGGCCAGAGTGGGGTGGCGTGGTCGAATGGTAGAGCGTTTAACTGCTAACCCGAAGATCTCAAGTTTAGATATCGGTTCGTATCAGCTCTGATGGGTATCTGACTCGTGTTGGGGAAAGTAAAGGCGGCTGGGTATAATGATGACAACATCGACCCTTAAATGATACTGAGATCTAGAAACATATGAACTCTACTTCATCTGTCAAATGAATCGCTAGGTCTAAAGAGAAATATTTACTTTTTTAAAAATTAAATCCGCCGTTAAATGTAGCGCGTCATTTATCTTATCTCCCCCACCACTTCAATCTCCCTTTACTCCATTGCTGTTACGGCAGCCTACTTAAGTTTATATCAGGGGGGGGGGGGCTGGGGGGCATAACCCCCCATAGACCCCTCGGTATATATATATATATATATATAAGGTATGAGGAGGGGGGTGCAAATCGAAAGTTTGAGAGGGGGTGCAAATCAAAAGTCTGGGGGGTGCAAATCGAAAGTTTGTCCCCGGGTAAAAATTGGACCCCCCCCCTGAGACGATCATGGCTACGCCACTGGTTTATAAGGTTAAATAAATGTAAACTAAATTATTTACGACCAAATTTAAAGTATTATTATTATTATTAGAAGTTTCTTTTATAACAATATATGTATAATACTACTATGCTTCATCATGCCAACGTTTTTACTTTTCTCGACATAGGAAAGATTGTAATCGTGAAAAATCGTAATCGAGAAATTCACAAATCTCGACGTTTCATACCTCCCTGAGTAATTTTGCAATCTTGTCTTATATCTGTGTGTGTCTATGTGTGTGTGTCTATGTGTGTGTGTCTGTGTGTCGGTGAACACCAGAGTTTCTTCCAGGCATCTCTTTTTTACCGCCCCCCCCCCCCCCGAACGGAATGAAATTTATATAATTTCTATAGAAAATATATACTTTTAACAGTGTCCGCCCCCACCCCGAAGAAAGTTTACCCCCCGAAAATTTAAAGTGCCCCCCCCCCCCCCCCGGAGAAAAGTCTGGAAGAAACACTGGTGAATACGATAACTTGAATACAGTTACAGCTAGGTTGACGAAATTTCATATAATTTCAAGTAAACGATTTAATTCTCTGTTTTACTTTTAAATTTCGAGTAATTTCCGGTGACCGGAACTAGTACTTTACGCTATTTCTGATTTTTAAAACAACCCATATGAATTTATCAAGAACTATTGTTCTGCGCTATTATACACACAACGGTTTCTGCTCACTTGGTGCGCTATTCTTTTTTCTACGAGATGATATTCTATTTTTAGAAAGTTTAAAATATTTAAAATTTGATTACAAATCACATGTCTATATCTCGAGTTTCAATCCACCGCAAGTTTTATGAGAAAATTAGATAAAGTTTAGGGGAGATCACTACCGCTTTATTTTTTATTAACAATTAACTTATAATTTCTTTAGTTATTAAAGGGAAATAACTCTTAATTGAAATACTACCAAAGAAAAGTAGCCAGTGTATAAGTAATAATCAGACAAAATAATTTTTTTTTAAGTTATATGGAAATTAATTTTTCACAATACACTAAAATCATTTTTCTTGAGCTCAAAGTGTAATCGTGTTTCTTATAAGTCACCTACATCATCATTTTTAACCAAGTCACACCGTATCCATTTTTTGTTAAGTAAAAGTTTAAAAAAAATTCTACGGGTGTAATTCCATTATCAGTTTTACTTGGCTTCCCTGATAATGTTAATCCAAGAATTAAAAAAAAAAAAAAAAAAAAAAAAAAAAAAATATCGGAGAATTAACACCCCTTAACTAAACCTACCAATTGCAAGCCAATTATTTAAAATCCCATGCAACACGTTTTAATTACTCTTTAGCAATTTCATGTTAAAAATAAAATTCAATTTAGACGTTTTGTTTTAAAACTATATATAAGTTAACAATCTTATTTGAATGAAAGTAGGCCATATGTAAGAAAGAAATTTTACTATTGTAAATCTGTATCAGTTCTCACAAGCCGATGATGAATATTGTAATACTACTGGACATGGTAAGGCAAACTGAGCTGTAAATTACGTATGCGCACGCACACGCTAGCGCACACGCACGCGCACGCACGCACGCACGCATGCAAGCACGCACAAACGCACGCACGCACAAACGCACACACACACACACACACATACACAAAAGATTAAAAAAAAGTTTATCCAATAAAAAAGGTCCTACATTAATCAATTTTCACAAGTTCACGGAGAACTAATTGTATTTTCGAAGCCTAGAAATATAGTAAATGGCAATTCCAATTTACCAAGTGATTTTATTTAATCAAAAACACGTACAATAAAAAAACACAAGATATACATATTTTTTGTGTGAATATATTTATCATTTCATAATTTTAAACTTTTGTGATAGAAAAAAAAAAAAAAAAACCTGAAACGTATTTTACAGAGAAGATTTCACCATTGCGTTTGTTCATATAGTAACCAAAACTAAAATAATACCAAATCTTAATTCTATTTAATTTAAGTTAATTCTATTCGTTCTTAATTTTTTAGTGTTGGAAGGGATGCCCTCCAACATAATTAATTATTACGTGTGAATTTGTTATACGCCTTATACACCGTTGGCTCCGATTACAGCCTTCTTTTCCTTTTTCATTTGCTTCCATAGCCTTTGTCCAAGCAAGAACAAACTACAAGCAGTTGTTTGATTTTGGAGTTGTCTCTCATAGAAGAGTGGCTGTCCACAGCTATCTAATCTCAGCTGCTTGGGTATAAGATATTTGTAAAACATGAAGTTTGTTGAGAATTTTATCTATTCAACTAGATATTGTGACAATTGTCACATACTGACTACAGAGGAAAGGGACGGTGATAAGTCGTGACCATAAGGGCCGGGAAGGCAAGACGGTTGTGACAATGTAATCAGGAGTCACAAGAGTCACAGAGGTGAGTCACTGGGTGAGTATCCGAACATGGGGCGCTCACGAGTTGTGACGTGGGGCGTCCGTACGTTGTGATGTGGGGTGTCCGTAAACTGACGTGGGATGTTCGTACGTTGTGACGTGGGGTGTCCGTACGTTGTGACGTGGGGTGTCCGTACGTTGTGACGTGTCCGTACGTTGTGACGTGTCCGTACGTTGTGACGTGTCCGTACGTTGTGACGTGTCCGTACGTTGTGACGTGTCCGTACGTTGTGACGTGTCCGTACGTTGTGACGTGTCCGTACGTTGTGACGTGTCCGTACATTGTGACGTAGGGCGTTCGTACGTTGTGACGTGGGGTGTCCGTACGTTGTAACGTGTCCGTACGTTGTGACGTGTCCGTACATTGTGACGTAGGGCGTCCGTACGTTGTGACGTAGGGCGTCCGTACGTTGTGACGTGGGGCGTCCGTACGTTGTGACGTGGGGCGTACGTACGTTGTGACGTGGGGCGTCCGTAGGTGTGACGTGGGGCGTCCGTACGTTGTGACGTGGGGCGTCCGTACGTTGTGACGTGGGGCGTCCGTACGTTGTGACGTGGGGCGTCCGTAGGTGTGACGTGGGGCGTCCGTAGGTGTGACGTGGGGTGTCCGCACGTTGTGACGTGTCCGCACGTTATGACGTGGGACGTCCGCACGTTATGACTTGTGGTCTAATAATCAAAGCAATATTTTCCCCAGTGACCCAGCTGCAACTTGATCAGTCTCTCTATCCAATTAAAACTTACATGACAAAATTGAATATAACCATTACATCCTCTATAATCTATCTGGTTGAACTCACAAAACTAGCATATAAAGGGAAGTTGCTAAGGATATCAGATTTCTCCCTCACTCCGTCACCGCGATTCAGGTGAGAAAGGTATAAAATACTTTTCGAACAAGGTGCAGATGAAATAAAATTCACCTGGTTTAGTGGTCATTATTAAGTCTGGTCGCGTCTTACTTACCCCACGTGAGTCAGGTACACATTAGGCAATGATAGTCTTGGGGGCGTCCAAAGCACTCAGACCCGTATTGCGAGACCTACGGGTATGCAGCTTAACGCTCTACTATTCAACCATGCGATTCATGGTGAAAAAAGGTAGTTCTACATGAAATACCTAGAGGTACTCACTTAGAGTAAACTACATTTAATGCATAGTTTGAGTGTGAGTAACATTATTGCGTGTAGGTAAACATAACAGAAGTAAACATAGGTCTTCCTTAAGTCTCAAGTAACAAAAATACAACATATTGTGCTGACGAGTATTTTCTTTACTCGTAGCAGACAACACCTAAACATTAACCGACATGCAGGTTTGACCTAATTAAATCACTCAACACGAACATGCAGGTGTAAATTACCCGATTAATTAGTTTAAATCTACATCCTGCAATTAACGATGTAAACATTGGTGAATTAATTAATTTGTTGACAAAATGTAATTAATTTTGTACTCATGGCTTGATAGCTTACTGCCAGGCAAGAAAAAATTCGGGCTGGTCTAGAGGTAGGGAAGGGGACGCTGAACTCTTATACCGTGGGTTCGACGACACAATAATCTGGGGGCTAAGTCTAGGAACCTGTACACCCTTAATGAAGTAAAAGTAAAGTTCTTTTTTTAAATCTAAATATGCAAAGAACAGATGAGTTCACAGGGCATAGTGTTCAACTGTATCTAGACAAATGCTAATGAAAAGATGGTATAAACTTCCTAAAGATTATAGATTCGAATTTAAAACTTTCTCATGTATTTATTAATCTACAAGTGATAAGAAAGGAAGGTGTGGGGGGGGGGGTGTCTTTCTGACACACCTTGACCCAATGGAGTCTCAGTTGGTTACCTGACAGAGGTAAGAACAGTATGTAGTTATGTACCTCATTCGACGCTCTATAATGTTGCTCACAGTGGATTATTCTGGGAAGGTGTAAAGGGGGGGGGGGTTGTCCACAATCCCAAATCACATTACGCTGATAAATAAATTAAATATACATAAATATATATTTTTTTGTGTAACTTCTTTTTTGCCCATTCATTTTTTTTTAAATTACTGTACACTCATTCCCAACTGATTTTGTAAGGCTGAATTATTTGTACTACAGCTTGAATCATCAATCCTATTTTTAAAATGACTCGTTTTAATCCAACACCACTTTTGTTTTTCTTTTCGTCATCTTGGCGCTACGTTACGGGAGGCTATGACGTCACACGACGCCTTGACCTCCGCATAGGTATCTCGCGTGCAGGGTTTTATTGTAGCAATACGATTGGTTGATGTCTGCCGTGCAGAGGTCGGAGGTCGCGTAGAGTTCACCTTCCGGGCAGAAGCGGACAGACTCCTTGTCCGGGCCACATTGGACGAATGTGGCGCACATGTCGCCGTGTGGCGCAAATGGCGTGTGGGTGTCCGTGCAGTATTTGATATCTGAAAAATAATTAATTACTTTTAGATAGGTAGATTTATTAATTTAGACAGCTAGATAAAGAATAGAGGCTATACATACATAGCTGTATGCTATTATGAATTTACTAAAAACAAATTGGTAATTAAAAATAAGTCGAAAAAACACTTGAGGCAATTTTTATTTGTACCGCTACATAAATCCGGCTCTAACCGTACTATTAAACCTTACCCAAATCTTAATTCTAACCAAGTTCCAAAATGTAACACTGACTTATTAAAGTTATCGGTGAAAAAAAAATCTTCACACGATACTGCATTCATGTATGGCGTTTTTTTTATTACCCAAGCATTATTATGTTAGAAATATCCCAATACAAAAGTCGTATTATGACTAGGTAGGCCTACAGTTGAAAAAAACTTGACCCGCAACAAGTTGCGTGGAGGTATCTTGATAGCTTCCCTTTTCCTATTAGAATGTCAGGCTAACTATTTTTGCAAGAGTACCCATTAAACTTATCGATAAATCCTTACCTGACGCTCAACCTCATCCAGGTGGTTTCACTGATGGTGTCACCCACCCGCGTTTGGTGTCACCCCTACACCCTACAATATTATTTCCACTGGATATAAAATATCTTTGACAGTTAAATTTTACGATTTTTTTTATTTGAGGTCACCCCTAAATGATGTCACGCTGTGCGTTACCGCAAATAACCCCAATATAAACTAGTCCACAATACAACCTTTATATTTCATTCAAATGAATAACTGTGTTTTTACACAATGGAATGGTACCTACTATAACTAATTTGCTCATACTATTAACGGCTATAATCTGTTGTTTGACTTATTACTTAATCTTTCTATATAGATCTTATAGATCTTTTACAATTGATTCATTACCATCTGAAAGGTCATTACATAAGCTAAGAATCTGTAGTTTATTTCATATTGTTGCATACTGACATGTTAGATCATAGCTTAATTAAGAAAACTGAGATTGAATCTCGTCATACCTCTAGAGAGCGCTGTAGCCAAAATGTCACACTGCTGGGATGTGACGTTGAAGCAGAAGTTCTGACCACACGACAGGACGGTCGTCACGGACTGGGCACACTGGATGAAGTATCGGCAGTCTACTGGGTGTGGGAGTAGGATGGGTGGCAGCCCCACACACGTGCTAGCTGTGGGGGAGATAATGTGAGGGGTGATGTAATAGACAAGTTTTTTTTTGGTGAGGTTAAGGTTAGGGTTACTGTGAAATGATACAGACGAGTGCTGGAAGTAGTTGGGTTTACTTTAGGTGCTTACTATGAGAGTAATTAGCCTTAGAGGGGATCCATGAAAGTAGTTTTTGTTGTAAGAATATTTGTAGAGAGAGACTTCAGTAAAAGACGGAGCAGACACTAAACAAGAGAACTCGTTACGTAGAGAACAACTAAAATGAAGAAAACCCGTTCTTACGATATGACAGTTGTAAGGTGTATTTTTATATATTTTATATTTGTTTACACATTTTAGGATACCACAAACAAACACGACGCCACGGACACACCCACACAATCACACACAACCACACACCCACACAGTCGGCATACACCCACACAGTCGCCACACACCCACACAGTCGCCACATACCCACACAGTTGCCATACACCCACACAGTCGCCACACACCCACACACTTATACACCCATATACAAAAAAACCCACACATCCACAAACCCATAGACCCCACCCCCACCCACACATCCACAAACCCATAGACCCCACCCCCACCCCCACCCACACATCCACAAACCCATAGACCCTACCCCCACCCACACATCCACACATCCACAAACCCATAGACCCCACCCCCACCCACACATCCACAAACCCATAGACCCCACCCCCACCCACACATCCACAAACCCATAGACCCCACCCCCACCCACACATACACAAACCCATAGACCCCACCCCCACCCACACATCCACAAACCCATAGACACCACCCCCACCCACACATCCACAAACCCATAGACCCCACCCCCACCCACACATCCACAAACCCATAGACCCCACCCCCACCAATACACCCACAAACTTATTCACGCACATACTTATACACACATATATCCATAAACCCACACATCCCCTAACCCATACACCCCCTACCCATACACCCACATATCCATACACGCACACAGTAATACACCCACAAACACATACACCCTGATACACCCACACACCCACAAACCCACATACCTACACACTCATACACCCTCATACTTACACATCCCTCCACACACCGACACACCTGCACACCTGCACACCTGCACACCTGCACACCTGCACACCTGCACATCTGCACACCTGCAAACCTAACTTCGACTCACCTGGTACAAGAAACAGCTCCAGGTCGGCCGCCAAATCCTCTCTCATCCACCCCCCCCCACACACACACCTGCACACCTAACTTTGACTCACCTGGTACAAGAAACAGCTCCAGGTCTGCCACCAAATCCTCTCTCATCCCCCCACACACCCACACACCTGCACACCTAACTTTGACTCACCTGGCACAAGAAACAGCTCCAGGTCAGCCACCAAATCCTCTCTCATCCACCCCCCCCCCCCACACACACACCTGGACATCTAACTTCGACTCACCTGGTACAAGAAACAGCTCCAGGTCAGCCACCAAATCCTCTCTCATCCCCAAATCAGGCACCGCCGTTAACACCTGGCACCGGAAGACGCTCCCGTTCAGGCGAGGTGGCACCAGGTACTCCCCCACCTGGCTGCTCATGCACGAGCTCACCTGGACAGTGGACACGTTGGAGAACGGCACCGTCTGGAACTGTGTCTGACCCCGTGGTTTCTGCTGCAGGATTAACGTCCCCTCGGGGAACCCTACCTGCGCCTCACACCTGATGGTGGTGGGGTTCGCGTTCCCCGCCATAGTGTCCCCTCCCAGCATGTTCCCTGATAAAGTCTCACCCCCAACCGTGTTCCCTGATAGTGAGTCTCCTCCCACGATGTTCCCTTTGAGACTGATAACTGGGGTCTTGGTCCGTTCTGAAAATAACAGTTAATGAATTTATAATGTTGTTTTTTTTGATGATTTAAAAACGATTATTGTTTAAGGTTAACAATAAAACAACATATATAGTTAGTTAAATCTAGGTATGTATATTCAGCTGCATTCATTCTAAGCTGGACATGCTTTACCCGTTAGTTTTCTGAAGTTCATCTGAAGTTCATGTTTATATTCTGGAAATGTAGATTGGAGTGTACATGGGAGCAGGGCCTAAGCAAGTAGAGCGCTAGGCTGCTAACCCAAATGTCTCGAGTTCGAATCCGGGTCCAAGTCAGTAGAACGTTCCTGAATCCACCCAGTTCTGAAGGATACTTAGCTCACGCTAGGGAAAGTAAAGGCGCCTGGGCAAAGTGCTGATCACACCTTCCCTTCATATGCCGAGGTCACAGAAACATATGAACTCTACTTCTGTTGGCTAATGGATCGCTAAGTCCAAAGAGGATTCTTTACGTAATATCCAACTTCCGTTTTCTAAAATCCCTACACTGTCCCCAGCGGCCCACCGGATATTTTTCCCGACTCACTCAACCTTTGTCTATGCATTACCAATAGCTAAGAATAAACATTATAACTACAGGTATCTCTTTGAGTTAGTATCTGCTCGATGTATGTATACAAGAAGTATGTATGTCTACAGAAGAACTTTTCTGCTTTGTTTAGCCAACTTTAATCGAAACTCTTTTAAAGGCTTACTTCAAATTTATTTGTAAAGTTGATTACTAAAGCTTTCAGCTCACTGAGTTAAAATAAACAAGATATTGAGCTTACCATACACCTTAAGCTCTGCAGCTCTCTGTATGCTCCCACTCGGGGTTTGAACCCTACACGTGTACCTCCCAGCGTCGGAGCACTTCAGCTCGTAAATCCAAATTTCCAGAACATTCTGCGACGTCAGGGAGCGGAAGTAAGCCAGGGCGCGCCCGCCCATGTTTAGGTCCAGCCATGTCGGGTGTTTTTGGGCCGACACGGTTATGACGTCACGTGAGGCGGTGGATGACGTCATCTTGGCGATGGTGATGTTGGACCAGATGACAGAGGTACTGACCGAACAATGAAGACGAGTGAGGTCTTTGTTGATGACGCCGGTTGTGGTTTCGAAGATGACATCAGGAGCTTAAAAATTTAAGAAAAAACGTTTTCATTTGTAAAAACAATTTCATTGAAATACACATAATTTAAAAATTAGGGGTTTAAAAACAACAATTATGTGTTTCCGTCTTATTCGCTGATTTTTATTACGGACATAACGATAGCCTCAGAATTCCTAAGCCGAATAGATCTAAATCCTTGATGTCAACCGCGAATTTCAGTTTATTTATTTTTGGTGGATGGCACTAGACTGCTAACCCGAAAGTCTTGAGTTCGAACATGGTGCTAACAGTAGAACTTTCCAGAGTCCACCCAGCTCTGATGGTTACCTAACTAAAGGCAGCTAGACATATGGCTGACCCCCGATCTTATTGTAACAGATAAACTCTACTTCACCTGCCCCATGTGTCTTTGTCACAAACAGGAAAAGATGACATGTGAACGAATTTAGGAATTGTGTTTATTGATGACATGTTGGATTGAGCCAAAGAATCGTACTAGTTATTTCAGGTCAGCAAATATAATCTACCAAGCCACAACTCTGTTTTAATTACTAATTATAGAAGAACTACCAACGCTTATAATAACAGGTTTAAAATTTTTGAAATAGTTAATTAGAAGAAAAAAATCAAGACCCATGTGCTAGCAGAGGCGTAGCGATTGAGGGGCGGGGAGTTACATATTGAAAGTTTGTCCCCGGGCGGCGGGAGGGGTCACGACGCCTCTGTGTGCTAGCACCAATGGAGCCATGACTTACCGGCTAGACCACACCGCTCGTACACGTTGTTGTTGGTCTGGTTGCTAGGACACGAGACAACGGCTGGTCTGTCGTCCAGACACTGGACAAGGAGGGAGCAGTTGTAGGGGTGTGGTAGGAGGCTGGCGTTGCTGGCACCGTCACATATGTTGGCTGGGATGTAGGGATAATCTCGGGATTAAAGGATGCTTAAATCGTTAAAGATTAGCATGACAACTGTACTATCTACACTAACATATGGACCAATGTATTTTTGTATATGGTCTAATATGACAACTTTACATTATACTAAACCGAATGGACCAATTTACTTTTTATTAGACATAATATGACATTACTACTTTCTACCTAACCGAATAGACTCATTTATTTTTTTATTATAACTAACATAACCATTTAATTTATACTCAACCGAATATACCAATTTACTTCTTGTTAGACTCAACAGTAGTCGTTACATTACTTAAACAAACACAGTTCTCTGAGTTAACTCTCGTACTTTATTCTTATATAAAGACAGCTCAGACGACACGTCCTGTCTCTGACTCTACGTTTCGTTAACTGCCTCACAGGTAGGCTACACATCAGCTACACATCAACTACACGGTAAACACTGAGTATACAAGGGATGTTACCACGATGTACTTTATAACAAAGGGACGTAAAGATACTTACAAGACATAACGTAACATGTAAACTTTACTTTCCACTATACTCGAAACTAAGTTTTATTAGACTTAGCATCGGGGCTTACAATTTGGGTGACCAGCCATTAAAACTTGACATTTGAAGTTACCAGTCATTAAATCTTGACATTTGAAGTTACCAGTCATTAAAACTTGACATTTAAAGTTACCAGCCATTAAAACTTGACATTTGAATTCCAAGCCATTAAAACTTGACATTTGAAGTTACCAGTCATTAAAACTTGACATTTAAAGTTACCAGCCATTAAAACTTGACATTTAAAGTTACTACCCACTCGAATTAACTTTATCCTATTGCTTCCAATTATTATTTTTTACATATAAATTAACCCTATGAAAAGGTTACTACTTTTATGATGTTCAACTATTCACCTTGGATGACCTGCATGACTTGTTGATCTATCAAACTATGTTGGTCTGTCATCTTTAGCTCACAGGTAAGCTCTGCACCGTGGACGGCCATGGACGGTTGGTAGTTGTTTACCTTGTGAATCTGTAGACAAAAAACGGAGCTCATCGAAAGTCTGGAAGATAACTAGAATCTTCCCTTTTTTTACTCGTGTCCGTTTCATCTACCTAAACATCTATAAAGTCAACTACTAGCTTCATGAATTGTACGTATTAAAATTTTTATTTTTACAAACAAAGTAAGTTATAAATATGTATGCAAATTGCATTGTATTTCTTATCAGAGTTTCTTCCAGGTAACTCTTCGGGGGAGCTCCGTCCTTCCCGAGAAAGTCTACCGCCCCCCTGAACGAAATTGAATGTTTTTTCCAGGCATCTCTTCGGAAAGGGGGGGGGGTCGAAGAAAGTCTACCTTCCCCCGAACGAAAGGGAATTTATATAGAAAATATATACTATATATATATATATATATATATATATATATATATATATATATATATATATATATATATATATATGGTTCCATGACAAATGATCTCAGTACAAATGATCTCAGACAAAATATCTCAGACAAAATATCTCACGGACAAATGATCTCAGGACAAATGATCTCAGGACAAATGATCTCAAGGATCTGTTAAGTATTTATAAATTCTACTTTATTTACCATGGTCAGGGTACATCCGTTTGGCCTAGTTTCGACATCTGTAGGCAGGCTATGGGACAAGGAGCTGTTTGGGAGCTTAACTGAGAGAGTTAGCTCCCATGGTGGGTAGCCCGTGTCGGCTTCACAAGTGATAGGTGCTGGTAGGTTCGTGTTGGCGATGACGTTTAGTGGGATGGTCAGTCTTGGGGGAGATGGTGGTACTGAAATAGATGGGGGATGGTTAGTCTTGGGGTGATGGTGGTACTGAAATAGATGGGGGGGGGTGGTTAGTTTTTTTACGAGATGGGGTATGGTTAGTTTTGGGGGTGATGGTGATACTGAAATAAATGGGGGGATGGTTAGTTTTTTAGCAAATGGGGGATGGTCAGTCTTGGGAATGATGGTGGTACTGAAATAGATAGGGGATGGTTAGTCTAAGGAGTGACGGTGGTACTGAAGTAAATGGGGGATGGTTAGTTTTTTAAGAAATGGGCAATGGTCAGTCTTGGGGGTGATGGTGGTATTGAAATAAATGGGGGGGGGGATGGTAAGTTTTGAGGTGATGGTGGTACTAACATAGATGGGGGATGGTTAGTTATGGAGTGATGGTGGTACTAACATAGATGGGGGATGGTCAGTCTTTGGTTGATTGCGCTAATGAAATAGATGGGGGATGGTTAGTCTAGGGAGTGACGGTGGTACTGAAATAGATGCGGGAAGTTTAGTCTTTGGGGAGAGGGCGGGTACTGAAATAGATGGGGGATGGTCAGTCTTGGAGGTGATGGTGGAAGGTCAGTCTTGGGAGAGATGGTGGTACTGTAATTGATGGAGGATGGTTATTCTTGGGAGAGATGGTGGTACTGAAATAGATGGGGGATGGGTTAGTCTTTAGCGAGATTGTATAGACACCGAAAAAGTAAGATGGCGTTTTATTGAGGGTGTTGATGTTTAATAATGAATGGTTCATTGAGTTGTCGCTAGTTGAAGGTGTTTTTTTTTCTTCTTCTTCTTCTTCGTTCTTAATTATTAGTGTTGCAGGTGATCGAGATTTATCTGCCAGTGCGTATGCACTCGAGACTTTGTTCGAATTTATCAACCATGAGCTTTTTGCCTACTCGACCACGCCTCCAACACAATTAAGCGTTACGTGTCAACTGGTTATGCGCCATTGAGGCCATTGACTCCGATTTCAGCCTGCTTTTCGTTTTGGATTTGCTTCCATAGCCTTTGTCCAACCAAGAACAAACTACAAGGCAGCAGTTGTTTGATTTTGGAGTTGTCTCTCCTAGAAGAGTGGCTGTCCCCAGCTAACGAGCCTCATCTGCCCGGGGGTTCGAACTCGAGACTTTTCGGTTTAGCAACCATGAGCTTTACCGACTCGACCACGCCGACCCCAACTGTTTTTTTTTATTTTGTTCGTTGTTTGATTATGCGTATTGTATTGAAGAAAGTTGGAAGCTGTAATTAAGGTATATTGATGTGGCAGGCCCATACAACAAACTGTGGTGTTAATTATAAACAATATACCTCACGCATAAGTTGTCATAACATTTTATTGTTCGCCGAAACTTTCGGCCTGCTTAAGATTTTTTTGTGTTCCAGATATTTTTAACCCAAAGCTTAGCCATAACTATACACATTAAAAAAATGTGTAGCCAGAATCTTAAAAAAAGGAATTGCAAATGCGATCAATATTCATTCAATTATATAACACACATCCTAATGTAAACAGTTATCAGCGCCAGTGGCGTACCCAGGTACGTCTCAAGGGGGGGTTCCAATTTTTACCCGGGGACCCCCTCATACTTTATATATATATATATATACCGAGAGGTCTTCAACCAACTAAAAAATGTTTGGGGTTTGGGAGATTTAACCCTTAGAATAAAAATCCGGATCTTAAACACACTAGTAAAACCTGTTTTACTCTATGGAGCCGAGACATGGAGAATAACTGCTATAAATAAGAAGAAAATACAATCATTTATAAACGCATGTCTCAGAAAGATCCTGCGAATTCGCTGGCCTAAAACCATCAGAAATGATGTTCTATGGCAACGGACAAATCAACTGCCAGTGGAAGTAGAGATCCTCCAGAGAAAATGGAAATGGATTGGTCACACACTCAGGAAGCCTGTATCCAGCATAACAAGACAGGCCCTCACCTGGAATCCACAAGGCAGGAGGAAGAGAGGCAGACCAAGAAAGACCTGGAGACGTGACCTGGAAGAAGACACCAAGAAGATTGGATACACCTGGGGACAGTTGGAGAGACTAGCCCTGGACAGAGACGTCTGGAAAGCTCTTGTCAGCGGCCTATGTCCCAGTAGGGACGACAGGCAAACATGACATGATATACCGAGAGGTCTACGGGGGGAGGGGGTTATGACCCCCTTAACCCCCCCCCCCCCCCCCGCCTACGCCACTGATCAGCGCATACTCAGACATAGTTTGGCAATAAAAAACAAACAAAGGTATTGATAAACCAAGGGAATCCACTCAAATATCTATTATGATATTTACACACAAAAACGACCCCAATAACCCCAGCTCTATCGCCATTATATTCAGACCTCTATGTTTAAACACATAGATTTTATCATGAGGAAAATGTAAAGCAAGCTCAGCCAAACGAAACCCATGACGTCATAACACCAACCGTACTGCATGTATTAATATTCATCGGCTATAAACTAAACAGATTTCCATAATTTGATACAAGATTTTTCAATTTACGAACCACCTGTTGTTTACAAGTAAGTGTCACTTGTATCCTGTTGTTAATGTCTCGCCTCACACCTGGAATCAATACATTACCACACACCTGTTCTCACTATCTCACCAGTCATGTGTATATATCTCACTCACACCTGAAATCAATACCTTACCACCCTGTTGTCACAACCTCACCAGTCTAGTGTACCTATTATATCACCTCATACCTGGAATCAATACTTTACCCCCCCCCCCCACCACAGATGCTGCCTCACCTCACATCTGTACTCACTAACTCACCTGTCACCTGTACCTAATATATCAACTCACATCTGTACTCACCAACTCACCAACTCACCTGTCACCGGTACCTACTATCTCACCACACACCTGTACTCAGCAACTCACCTGTACCTACTATCTCACCACACACCTGTACTCAGCAACTCACCTGTACCTACTATCTCACCTCACACCTGTAGCACCAACTCACCTGTGATCTCGAGTCTACCTATCCTGGAAATCCTGGCACCCGACGCCTCTGTCACCGTACACTCCACGTAGCCGTCGTCATGGCAACTGAGCTTGGACAGGGTCAGCTTTATGGTAATCCTAGCATCGCTGACGTCATAATAGGCCCTGGACCGGTCAATGTACGACCCACTAACTGTAGTCAGACCTGGGAACAATGAGATTTATTACGACTTTTTAATTACTGATTAATTATTTATATAGTTTATACAATTAGTAAACATGTATTTACATTTGGTGCTACTTTTTTTATTAATGACTTTACAGTAGTAAATTATTTTGAAAATTTGGACAAAAACAATATAAGAAATAAGACTTAATTTCAAAGCTGGCCGTTGGCAGATGAATGGCCACTATATGGCCCCTAGTACATGGTTGGCCAGTAGTACATTGTTGGCCACTAGTACATATGTTGGCCACTAGTAAATATTTATCCACTAGTACATGGTTGGCCACTAGTAAATTGTTGGCCACTAGTACATGTGTGGCCTCTAGTACATGGTTGGCCACTCTAGTACATTGTTGGCCTCTAGTACATGGTTGGCCACTAGTACATGGTTGGCCTCTAGTACATGGTTGGCCACTAGTACATGGTTGGCCACTCTAGTACATTGTTGGCCACTAGTACATGGTTGGCCACTAGTACATGGTTGGCCTCTAGTACATTGTTGGCCACTAGTACATGTGTGGCCTCTAGTACATGGTTGGCCACTCTAGTACATTGTTGGCCACTAGTACATGGTTGGCCACTAGTACATGGTTGGCCTCTAGTACATGGTTGGCCACCAGTACATGGTTGGCCACTAGTACATGGTTGGCCACTAGTACATGGTTGGCCACTAGTACATGGTTGGCCTCTAGTACATTGTTGGCCACTAGTACATGTGTGGCCTCTAGTACATGGTTGGCCACTAGTACATGTGTGGCCTCTAGTACATTGTTGGCCCCTAGTACATGTGTGGCCTCTAGTACATGGTTGGCCACTAGTACATTGTTGGCCTCTAGTACATAGTTGGCCACTAGTACATGGTTGGCCACTAGTATATGTTTGGTCTCTAGTACACGGCCGAAAAATTTTTCTTTACTACCACGACGCCAATCAACAACCCGAGTCATTAAAATATCAATAAACTTGATTTACTCGGTTGAACATGTCACCTATCAAGTTCATCAGGTACTCGAAGTTTCGCTTCACTGACATTGACGGGATGAAAGAGTGGATGTGGGTGGAGACATGAATCAGGTGCGCACATACTGAGGGTATGAACACCTGGTGTTTATGGTGACAGAAAGCGGTGTTTACAGGTGTTTCATTAAAATGTGTTTTTTTTTCCAGATGTGTGGTGGTGTCTTGTTTAATATTTGTGTCTCAGTTGTGGAGAGGTGTGTGAAATTCGGTTACATTATAATGACTGGTTTTTAGAATCGATTTACTAGTATGTGATTTGTTTATGTATATTTAAGTTGGGCAGGGAAGAGTTTCTGTAGAACATCCGAGATATCCTTTAGATTTTAAAATCCGGCATCCTGTTGGCGTAGAGCATTCCAGAACCAACGTGGATTGAATACGTATCTGACGTAGCGTGGCGAAACAATCAGCACTGCCGATTGTTCATAAATCACACCCTGGTTATTAAGCAGATTGTACCCCCCCCCCTATTGGCACACGCGGTTAGACAAAGCTAGACACAACTTCGGTTAAATAATGTCCGAAATTTCCGCCCGCTAACACCCTCCATTAAACAAGATATTGTTACAAAGTATGTTTTGATAAGGTGGTTTTTTTTTTAATAACTTAATAAACATAAAATAAATAATACTATTTTGAGCATTTTTACCTCCCCCACCCCTCCCTACTTTCGCCAAACACGGCCGAATAAGAGTGCACACTACCTCCGTTATGAGGTTGTGGCTTCGTTTATAGTTTGTCCTTTGGTTACCAGGAGATTATATACAATTACAGTGAATAACCTACCATACGTACTTTCATATACACGTAGGTCAGTAGTTAGTGCTGAACAGCCCCAGAAAAACGGCAGTCATGTAATGAACTAATTTTCCCTTGTAAAATTAAAGATTAGTACTAAATCTGCCTAGTCTTTCGACATTCAAATATTGATTTAAAAAAAAAATAATTGGACAACCGATCAATTTTAACGAAGGCGCTAATGAAGAAAATTACAAATGTACCGCTGGGGTCAAGTCTCAGGAGTTTCTGACGAGTTGTCGCACTTGTCGTCTCGTCGGCCAGTGACGTATGCCACAAGATGACGTCAGTCCAAGATGTGGGGTTGTAGACGTCACAGGAGATGGTGACGGCCACGCTGCTGATGTTGGCTGTGATGTTGGACACGGAGAGTGCTGTGGTGACAGGGTGGTTGAAAGGTTGAGGTCAATTGGATGAAAATATTTTATTAATTGTGGTGATTGAAAGGTTGAGGTCAATTGGATGAAAATATTTCAATGATTGTGGTGGTTGAAAAGTTGAGGTCAATTGGATGAAAATATTTTATTAATTGTGGTGATTGAAAGGTTGAGGTCAATTGGATGAAAATATTTTAATAATTGTGGGGTTTGAAAATTTGAGGTCAACTGGATGAAAATATTTCAATAATTGTGGGGTTTGAAAAGTTGAGGTCAATTGGATGAAAATATTTTAATGATTGTGGTGTTTGAAAAGTTGAGGTTTAATTGGATTTAAATATATTTTAATAATTGTGGTGTTTGAAAAGTTGAGGTTAATTGATGTAAATATTTTAATAATTGCGATGTTGAAAGATACAAACTGGGGCTATAATGTGTAAACACACACCAGCTAATAATGCATATCTCTTATATAAATTGTACATAAACATTAATCTAAACTTGACAAGTAATTATTTAATCGATCGATCTATTGTGTTATTGGTAAGTTCTTTACTCGATTTACCTTATGGGCAGTTATATTTTCATGCTTGAAAATTGTATTTAAAACAAGTGTTTTGGTTTAAGGGCCGATCTTTTGAGGAAAAACTACACACATTGACTGTATTTAGACACTCACACTACTTAGATTCTTATAGCTCATGTTTTTCAAGCATGCTCGTTGGGCATTTAGATTTTTTTTAATTAGTTATGACACATGATAAGTTGATCTGTACATTGCAATAGCCTTTTCATACCAGCGTTTATCTGTTTTTCTTGCACGGGAATGTGAAAGGGTTGTGTTGTAAGTGGAGTTCATACGTTTCTTGACCTGCACGTATCTTGACATATAAAGGGATAATGTGGTCAGCATTATGCACAGCCGCCTTTACATTTCCTAACGTGAATTGGGTACCCATCAGAGTTGGGTGGACTCAGGGACGTTCCACTAGCTTGAGCCAGGATGCGAACTCGGAACTATCGGGTTAGCAGTTTAGCGCTCCACCGCTAGGTCACACCGTCTAGCAGTGTTTACCTATGATTACTTGAATAAGGTACCAAAAAGAGGTGGACGAATTTTTATTTAGCAAGACCTTTTCTCTTGGTTTCCATGTCAGTAAACGTGTGCCCTACCACTGGGCCACCAAGTCTTCTACATCACTCTTACTTGTGAACGGCTGAGTTGTGTCCCATTTCAAGGTTGTCGCCCTTGTATCGCTACCAGACTTTGTCGTACTTGGTGATGCTGTGGTCAGCGACTGTGGTCTGCTGGTGTCTGGGGCGGGGGTGGAGTCACGGGAGTCAGGCACACGACTCGACGCCAGGGTCAGGTCGTGGCTGGTGGTGGTGGGGGTGCCTGACACCAGGGGCGTCGACGTCACAGTTGTTCCTATGTCGGTGTGGTTGGTTCCTATCAAAGTGCTGGAAGTAGGTTCTAGACAAAGAACAAATTCACAGCAAACAATAGTTTATGTTTGGAAATGACAAATATTATACCGAAATCAAGACAAAGTTTGTACAAGTACATTTTTTTTTAAAATATTTGAGGTCCAAAAAAAAATATAAAAAATTGGAGGTCTATTGACTTGTTCAATGGTTAAATGCTAATCGCCACTATTGTAAACCTCATATTTTTATCTTCAACTTATGAGTCTTGCCCTATCATGAATTAAGCTAAAGTGACAAGGCCAGCAAATGGTTAGAAAATCAAAGTTTAAATGTTAATTTTTTTAGCGTCAAAATATTTTTATTTTTATTTTTAAAGACCCGCAAGGATTTACTGAATCAAATTAAATGGAACTGAGAAAATTCAAATGATCATAATGCAAAAATATATATTATAATAGTTTACGTCTCAAGATATTTAAATAAAATCAGTTAATTATTTGAACCCTCATGAATGGATTATCCAGTAATAGATTGTGGTGTTTAAAAACGAAGCCTAAGACCCTACCCCCCCCCCCCCCTCCCCAAATGCAGTAACCTTGAGTCTAGTTTTATTCTGTTCCGCAAAGCTAACAATTCCGGTTTTTTCAGACCACTAATTGGCTAGGATCTGAATTGTAGATTGTAAGTACAATAATGACAAACTAGTTGTTTCTACTAAACGGTTTGCCCAAATTAAGCAATTAATTATTTCTTTTTGGAAATTACCCAAATTATCAGCTTTAACTTCCGGTTTCTCGTGAATGGTTAAAAACTCCAACTTGGTCTCCGCGCATGACCGGCAGACGACATACTGGCCCAGCTGGATAGCGCCATCTAGCTTCCAATCAGGGGCGACCTCAGCAGACGTGATGACGTTCTCCACATCCTGGGGTGACTTGATCAGCCCCTCGTCCAGGAAAGTTATCGATGACGTAGCGTAGATACTTCCGTTCCTGCAGATAAAAGAAAAATATCTTTTCAACACCTGGTAAAAATTTCAACACCTGGTAGAAATTTCAACTTCTGGTAAAAATTTCAACACCTGGTAAAAATGAAAGTAATGAAAATATTTTCAAATAAGAATTATTTCAAACACAATTATTTGTTTTAAAAAAGCGCATACAATCTTAAAATGTTACAATAAAGTATTGAGCTTTAGTTTTAGATGGTATTGATATCCTAACCATTGTCTGAACCCTTGGAAAATATTTAATCTTAACCTTAGTCTTGAGTTGAGTATATTCTTAATCTTGAGCTTTAAAATTATCTTAACCCTGATTGTAATATTGACTTCTTACATTGAACATTTCGTAATTCGTGGACAATTTTTTAAAATATGACTGGTATATTATGTGCTGTGAAGTAATTATTTTGTTCATTTTCAATAAATGGGATTATATTAATCACATTTCTTAAAGTCCTAAACTAAATTTTGCATCCTATGTGTGTTGAGAAAGAAGGATGCACATAATATGTAGGCAAATAGACGTAAAAATCGATATATTAATGCTACTACTGATTATTTTTCATCTTCGACTAGTTTATTTGACAAAGCATCTCGCTAAAATTTGAACAATTTGTACCAACACTCACATACATTTTAGAACACGGCATGAAATAGTCGCTTGATGTATCGAAACATGAAGATGTCTATTGAGTTAGACATATACATAGCAACGTAAAGCATGAGAGCGGAAAAGGTCTTTAAAGACACCGAAAAAATATATATTAAGCTAAAGAGAACGAAGAACGGATGTACTTAAATTTTATGCGCTAACGGAAAAATTAATCAAGACTATCGATCTAATGTAGGAACGGTCGTTTGATTATGATCAATGTCGATCCACTGATGGTCATCTAATAAAGGTCTTTATTGTCGGTTATCTATTAAAGGTCAATAAAATGACCACTGATGTAATCTAATCAAGGTCAATATCAGTCCACTGATGGTCAATTTAATGAAGGTCAATGACAGTTTACAAATGGCCGGCTAGTGAAGGTCAAGGTCAGTCCACTGATGGTCATTTTAGTGATGGTGAATGTCAGTCCACTGATCCTCCATGTCTCTTTACCCTGAAGCTATTTCCCGTGTTTATCCAATCGTTTGATTGACACCTGTCATCCGTGACCTGTCATGCTTGACTGACCCCTGCTTGACCACAGAAACAACTAGAGCACAACCATCTAATACATTGCTGCTATAAATAACAGACTATAAATTTATCCTGTGTATACGTTTTACAACTTCATTTTCACCTTCACGGTAAGTTGAAGCTTTATATAAGGGGATACTTACAACACTGAAAGAATAAAACCATTTCAACGTAATCATCTAAATCTCAACAGTCGGTCTATGAGAAATGAATAATTTATGTTCTATGGTTAGTATAGAGGATTAAAAGTTAACCGTGTAGTTAGAGTTAGAGATAGTATCATCAAATTACGACACTGTAGCGCAAAGTTTGGGTTACTTTAAAAACTACAATGAAAAATAAGCTTGGCGTTATATAGATACTTTCGCATCGATTGTAGTTTTACATAACTAAAAAAACACAATGTTTTAACGCATACACATACACACACACACACACACATATATATATATATATATATATATATATATATATATATATATATATATATATATATATATATATATATATATATACATATATATATATATATATATATATATATATATATATATATATATATATATATATATATATATATATATATATATATATATATATATATAAAGAAACCTCATCCTGTACTGTAAATCACTCGGTCAACGCCGTATTTTATTCAGTACATAACCCCTTGACCTCCCGAACAATCCCAATAGTAGTTCCCCTTTTCTTTGCCTGACGTATGATATTTTTTTTTCTACTCTCTGTCCAACTTCTCTGCCCCCAACCCAGACAGCCTTTAAAAAAATAATTTATGACGGTTCGCCCCCCCCCCCCCCTTAATTATTACACTACATTCCATCCCTGTCCTTGAAAGCAAGGATTATCCTTTCACAATCCCTTTATCCATGCGAGTAAGATTTACGACGCCCCCTACCCCTAAAACCCCACTTTACCTGAAGTAGAGCACTCTATTGCGGCTGTATACGGAAGACAAGCTTGACCGTTGAAACAGTTCGTCCAGCTCAATGGAGTAGGACGTGGCCAGGTTTTTGAAGGCATCGGATCCGGCTTGCAGTAAATCAACGTGGAAATCTCGATTCAAAATTTTTAGCGTCATGTTTGCCATGACAACGGCTGTGAGAGAAACGCAAAGGGAAAGAACTGTGAAACTAATAAAGGGAGGTAATTGGAAGTAAACTGTAATTTTGTGAAAGATAGCTGCAATAAAATGTAGTCTATTAAATCTCAACGTGGTTTTTATTTCACTTTTTTAAATTCTTCAATAAAAATTGAAAAAAAAATACATTTTCTAATATAAAAAATAAAATATTGATGAAGTAAACTTACAGTAATTTTGAAGTACTGGAGGTGGCAGTTTACCTGTAGATAATATCAATGTGAATATGCATACTTTGCTGTAGGTATAGTTTTTTTTTTAAATATAAGCTGGCATATTAGAAGATGAAGAGATTAAACGAGAGGATTAAGAAGGATGGATTAATGGATTATTGGGCCGATGGAAGGAAAGATTAATGTGGTAATAGTTTTTTTTGACAATTTTTAAGGGACACGTTACAGTGATAAAATATCACACCGGTAATTTAATTTCATGTAAAGTTATCTCAAGGACAAGATTTTCTAATTGTAACATATTTCAAGGTCTCTCTCTCACTTACACTCTCTTATTGGAATAATTACCCACCAAGTTGTTCGTTTTAGGACAGGCGCTAGCTGACGAGAGAAGTTGGAAAGTACCTGCAAACAGATCCCATTGCGCCTCTATCGATTATATACGGACAGTTTGAGAGAAAACAGTTATGTAGGATTTGCACCGCATTATTTGTTAAGTTAACAAATAGACTGACTCTACGTCACCTATACATTTCTCTCTAGAATCCCTAACCTGAGTATAAACCTTGATTTAACATTAGACAGACTTGATTTAACATTAGACAGACTTGACTTAACACTAGACAGACTTGACTTAACATTAGACAGACTTGCCTTAACATTAGACAGACTTGACTTAACATTAGACAGACTTGACTTAACATTAGACAGACTTGACTTAACATTAGACAGACTTGACTTAACATTAGACAGACTTGACTTAACATTAGACAGACTTGACTTAACATTAGACAGACTTAACATCAGACAGACTTGACTTAACATTAGACAGACTTGACTTAACATTAGACAGACTTGACTTAACATTAGACAGACTTAACATCAGACAAACTTGACTTAACATTAGACAGACTTGACTTAACATTAGACAGACTTGACTTAACATTTGACCGACTTGACTTAACATTAGACAGACTTGACTTAACATTAGACAGACTTGACTTAACATTAGACAGACTTGACTTAACATTAGAAAGACTTGACTTAACATTAGGCAGACTTACCCTGTGTTGTACCGAGAGTCGCGGCCAGTACTGTGGTAAGGACAGCCACAGCCACAATAAACATGACAATCAGCAGAAAAATTAAATGATGCCTTTTCCTTTTTCTGTGTTTCTCGTCAAAGTCCTCTCTCATCTTCGTGGATGATCCCTGCGGATTATCCATCTCCAAATAGGAATCGAACTCTGAACGTTGCTGGTATAAATACTGGCTGCTTTCACCCAGGCCATTGTTGTTATTATTATTATTATATTTTATAGAAAATGGAGGATAACTCGTACTCTTTAATCCATTATCTTTTCCAGGAGAGTTACGCTTCGTGGAGTCATTCTTTATTTTGTTTTTAGTTTTTGAACTGTTTCTTTTTTTCTCCGCGTTTTGATCCGATTTTTCATAAACGTTTCGGATTTTTTCGATGTTGTTTTTAATGGATATATCCAGATCGTCTAAGTTTTTGGGGAAACTGGACCGTTTGGGAACGGCGTTGTTGTTGTTGAAGTTGTACGAGCTAGGAGTCGGGCTAAGAGCGCGCTCCTCTAGACGGAAATCTACGTTGTGTTGTTGTGCGGTGCTTTGCAGCTTGGGATGTGTTTGTGAATGTTGGTGACGCCCCTGCTGGGTTTGATCTTTGTGTGGGGTGTATGAAGTTGGTTGGAGTTCAAGGCTAATCTGGGACACGTTCTGGTGTAGGTTTTTCGTCGAATCACTGTTCGTTAAATTTTTACCTGGTTGAGAGTTAATATGACCTTGAATGTACTCACGACTGGAGTATGGATTACTGGCTGCTCTTTGAGAATTGTTTCCTAAGGTGTCTTGTCTTCGGGTTTGGAGAGCTGGGTTAAACATCCACCCAGATCCGTAGCCAGGGTTCCCCAACTCCCCCCACCCAGGGGCGTAGCCAGTGTTCCCTAAATCCCCCCACCCAGGGCCGTAGCCCGCCTTCTTCTCCTCCCCTTTCTCCGCCTTGTCTTTCCTATGCCGCTTGTTTCTCCGGGTCGAGTTTTTAGTACTACTCGGCAAAGTCCCCGAGTGCCAGCGAAGACTTATCCCGCCGAAAGGACTGCCGGGAATTTCCGGCGCTTGTTCACGTTTCCGTGACGACGATTTCCGCAAACCGTGGAAGGATTTTCTGAACGGGTTTTCGTGTTGGTCGTCAGGTACCAAGTGTGGGATAGAGAGACCCGAGTCTAGGGAAGCGTGCAGGGACTGCAGACGAGAGGGAGGCTTCTGGTGTAGAGACACGTGTGGGAGAAAATGGTGAGGGGTCGACTCATCCTCGGGGTCACGGTGGAGGTCGTCAAGGTCACGGGAGGATAGACGGAAGTTGTTCGCCGGTACTTGCGGCTGGTTTAGCACCGTTTCCATGGAAACAGCACGAGGCACCTTGCTGCTGCTGCTGCCGTTAGCCCAAACGAGGCCGTGCCGAGGGTTTCTATGTGTGCTCATGTTTCAAGGTGTGCAGCGCCACCTACAAATACAACGGTGTAATACAGTCAATATCGCAGGTGAATGAATGAAATATTTTAGGTGCATAAAAATAAAGCAATTAAATATTCAAAAGTGTTTGACACAATTTCTTTATCAGTAATGAACACCACAAACATTTACGTTATTAATATAACAATATTAACCCACTTTAAAATACTACTATACCCACACATTTCACATAGTCAGAAGTCAATAATAAATCCTCCCTCGTTTAAAGCGGTCTTAATATGCGAGCCCCAATACATTATTGTATTCTAATAAAAAAAATCCAAACTGGGCATGTACACTTTAAATTCATTTGTGCCTATTCCAAATAGTATATCTTCTTCCGGTACAAATAATTCTTAAAGACATGAATGAAACCAAATATAATACATCATTTGAGGTTGAGAGTAGGGGTGGGGGAGGGGGTGGGATTTGGGCAATGGGGAGGGGGTAAGCGGTGGGGAGGGATGTGGACGGAGGTGAGGAGTGTGTCAGTCGCGTGTCATCATATTTCAGTGTCAGGTCAGCCATCATCTCGCTCAGGTCATGTTTACAACACAATGACAACGGCCTGACACACAAGGGGGACATGTGTGTACCTACAGATCATAGAGAATTTGGTGGACACACTAGGGGTCATCCATAAATGACGTCACGCTTTTTTGACGATTTTACCTCCCCCCTCCCCTCCGTCACACGTCGTCACAAAAAGCCAGACCCCCCCCCCCCTAAAATGACGTCACACCTCAGCCTACAACCCCCCTAAAAATTGCAGTTGAATTTTTTTAAAACATCGATATTATTCTAAAATCTTGTCTGAACTCAGTCAAAATAGAGTAATTTAATCAATTCCTATTACAATTTATTAAAACAGTTTTATAAAACGCGAAATAACGGCTAAAATTCGTTTTCTAACATTGCTTTTTTATAATGCAAAAGTGTGACGTCGCACCATCTGGACCCCCCCCCCCCCTCCCCCTCATCACACATCGTCACAAAATTACGGACCCCCCCCTCCCCCCTACGAGTGTGACGTCATTTATGGACGACCCCCTATGGGAACTCTTATGTGTCCTTACAGATCATAAGAGTTTTTGCTGACTCAATGACGGAACTCATATGTGTACCTACAGATCGCATAGTTTTTTGTTTTTTTTACACAGATCATAGAGATTTGGTTGACACCCTACTGAACACATCTGTGTACCTACAGATTACATAAGATTTGGTGGACACACCATGGGAGCACATATGTGTCCTTACAGATCATAAGAGTTTTAGTTGACTCAGGGACTGAACTCATACTCATACTTCCTACAGATCGCACAGATCGCGATTTAGTTGACACACTATGGTAACACCTGTGTACCGACAGAACACCTACATACCACCACAATGTGGTTGACATCTGACAACAAGCTTGCAGCGCGCGCATGTAAGTCACACACAAACAGAGTTCGAGACCAGTGTTTGACACCGCCATCAACCTATCAAACTGGCACTGACACTAAGCTGTCAGGTGACAATGCTGTTACTTGACACTGGTATTACGTTAACATCTAACCCTTGGACTTCGCCGTTAAATAACACTGACACTAATCTATTAAAAGTTAATACCGCCAAATGTTGAGTGACACTATCACTAAACTGTCATATGTCACTGACACCACTCTACCAAATGACAATCGCATATTTTATATAACCCTGGCACTATTGGAAGCCACTTGTCAGGTACCCGAACATTTGTTTACTAATGACATTTGGCCCGTATATTACAAACAACAAGCCAATAATTACAAAACATAAACACTGCTGTAATATAGCGTAATTTTGTTTAAATGTAAAATTGTTAAATAGACGAACACTTAAAATTCTTAAAACTCGAATTTACAGTTCAAAATGGTCTAATTTTAAAGTAAATGTGTGTATCTTTTCCTGTCATTAATGTAAAACGGTTAATCTTTATCTTTGATTATCAAAAACACCAAAAAAACCCACATTCATTGTATTTTAAGCAAACTGCCCCGGTAGCATGTATACCTGTATCAAAATATACCTGTATACCTGCATCAACCTACACCTGTATACCTGCATCAACCTACACCTATATACCTTCATCAACCTACACCTGTATACCTGCATCAACCTACACCTGTATACCTTCATCAACCTACACCTGTATACCTTCATCAACCTACACCTGTATACCTGCATCAACCTACACCTGTATACCTTCATCAACCTACACCTGTATACCTGCATCAACCTAGACAAAACCACGGCGACAGGTAGAGACTAGCTGAGGAAATTATCTTGACAAGGCAGCACAGTGAAAATAAACTACCGGTAGTCTAAATTTTTTTCCTCGTTTCCTAAAACCTAAATCAAAGTTAATCCTACTTGACCTTTTACCTTTAGGATTGATACGTTCTTTTGTGGATGCATGATTTTCCCGTCAAGGAATATTTAAATTTACCAGATATTTTTTTTTAAATGTTCCAGTTTTTATACAAGCTATTGTGTATTCAAGGGTGATTCATGATGAGTCATGGTTAAAAATGGACACATTTTGTAATCCAGTAATGTGAGGACAGAAACGTTAAATATTTTTTTAAAGTTTAGATTTGACATTTGATTAAAAGAAACTCGGAAAGATTTTACGGCTACACACTCGATTTTGGCTGATTTCGTTCACAGCACCTAGGCTGCTCCCCTTCCCACCATACAACTCTAACGTAGTCAGATTTTGAATTATTATTTTTTTCTTGGACTTTTTTCAAATTTTTATGTTAGTTCTGAGAGACAGAATGCTTGTTGAGACTTTTATGTTTGATCAATTATAACGTAGACATTTTTAAAACTATACGTTATGAAAATATAGTTTTAGATCCGAGACAAATTATTTGTTATGAAACTATAGTTTTAGACCCGAGATAAATTATACGTTATGAAACTATACTTTTAGAACCGAGATAAATTTTACGTTATGGAACTATACTTTAGACCCGAGATAAATTATACGTTATGAAACTATACTTTAGACCCGAGATAAATTATACGTTATGAAACTAATCTTTTAGACCCGAGATAAATTATACGTTATGAAACTATATTTTTAGACCCGAGATAAATTATACGTTATGAAACTATACTTTTAGACCCGAGATAAATTATACGTTATGAAACTAATCTTTTAGACCCGAGATAAATTATACGTTATGAAACTATATTTTTAGACCCGAGATAAATTATACGTTATGAAACTATACTTTTAGACCCGAGATAAATTATACGTTATGAAACTATACTTTTAGACCCGAGATAAATTATACGTTATGAAACTAATCTTTTAGACCCGAGATGAATTATACGTTATGAAACTATATTTTTAGACCCGAGATAAATTATACGTTATGAAACTATACTTTTAGACCCGAGATAAATTATACGTTATAAAACTATACTTTTAGACCCGAGATAAAGTATACTTTTTACAATTTACCTTTTATTCCGGTAATGAAAAGATATCAAATAAAAAGTTAATAGGGAGCTTTGATTCGCCAATGCCAAGCTTTGCCACCGTTGTTTATGAAAACTCTCAACTCTATACCTAACTCTAACCCTAGCCGTTTCTCTGTTACCTGATACACAGAAAAATTATCATAAACATCTATTTATTGATGTAATTAAGCAATGGCAGTGACGTAATTGTCAATTATTTTCAATACTTTTTTTAACAAAATTGGTTTAATGAAAAAAATGAAATATCCCAGCCATTAGGTAACAGATATCTGACGCTGATAGGCCGCGTAAAAAGTTTTAAAGAATGCTTTATTTAAAATGAAAATAAACAGCAAACATGTCAATGAATAAAATGAATTGGAGGATGTATGACTATATGTTTGAATTGTTTCTAGCACACACTTTACTATGCAAAAATTTGAGATTCTTGTAAATGGCTAAAATAATCGGTATTTCTTGAATTAAAACAACAATTTAAATTTTGGAGACTTTAATAGAGGTTAAGCATTGGGGGGGTCGTCCATAAATGACGTCACACTCGTAGGGGAGAAGGGGGGGACCGTAATTTTGTGACAGTGTGTGATGAGGGGGGGAGGGAGTTCATTATAAAAAAAAGCAATGTTAGACAACTAATTTTAGCTGTTATTTCACTTTTTACAAAATTGTTTTATTAAATTAAAATAGAAATTGATTAAAATACTCTATATTGGAAGAGTTCAAACAAGATTTTGGAAAACTATCGATGTTTTTTTTAAAGAAAATATTCAACTACAAATTTGAGGGAGAGGGGGTAGTAGGCTGAGTTGTGACGTCCTTTTAGGGGCGTGTCTGGCTTTTTTTTATGATGTGTG